TGTTCTCCCTCCTCTCTCTCTCTCTCTGTCTCTCTCTCTCTCTCTCTCTGTCTCCACTCTCTCTTGTGAGACTGTGACATCCTGTCGCCTTCCATTGCGCGTGCGCGTCCTCCTGTAAGGTATCCTGTCCCACTGCACCCATTGAGAAGCGACCCATACCTACCTGCCCACCTACCTTACCTACATGTACCTTACCTACCTTACACGACCGAGCCACGCGCAACAACGACCTGCTCCCAGCTAGTTCCTACCTACTAACCAGTCCTGCCTCGTCGTCAACTCTATGCCCGCTGCCGCTGGCTGGCTGGCTGGCTGGCTACCTACCAGACCCTTTCTGCCACCATGCATCGCACTACTGTTCCAGCTTGCACTGCCTATCTGGCTCTATGTACCGAGTCGAGTCTCGTCCAGGCTAGTCGGTAGCCCGCCTAGGTAAGGTACTTTGATGCAGATACCGTACCAGCCAGCCAGCCAGCCAGCACCACAATAATTGCCATTGTCGACACACAGCTACCTCCGAATGTATCTACCACGCCGGATATAATACGACTTCTCCTGTGAGGACTGCCACTGCCACTGCCGCTACTACTAAGGTACTGCTGCTGCTGCTGCTGCTGCTGCTGCTATTCCTGCTGTTATATTCCTGCTGTCACTACTACCTACCGCCACTGCCACTGCCACTACCTCTGCGGGCGTTGCCTCATCTCCCAACCCGGACTGCTGCTGCTGCTCCTACTGCTGCTCCTGAACCACTCATCCGTCTCCGCCTCCGCCTTTGCCTTTGCCTCCGCCTGCTCCCCCTCTCCCTGGACCCAATCGCGCCCTCCCCCTCCGTCCCCCCTCTCTCCCGCTCCGGAGCCTGGCGCAAGCAAGCCCGATTCGACGGCCATGATGTCTGATCACTGTGCGGTCAGCGAAGTGCCCTCGGCGGAAGCCGACGCCACTTCGCACTACGAACGTGAACACGCCAGTGAGCCTGACGCGCGCGCCGACGACTGGGCGCACACTGCCGATCGCAAGGCGAAGAAACGCATGCAGAACCGCGTGGCTCAGCGGTCGTATCGTAAGTTATCATAACAACATGCCTCGTCGAGCCTAGACATGTGCTGACATCGAGCCTGTAGGTCAGCGCATGAAAGCGCGTGTCGAAGAACTCCAAGCCAAAGTGGAACAACTGGAGGGCTCTTCCTCGAGCCCTCCGCTTCAACCTTCCTGTTCTACCTCGTCTTCTTCTTCATCATTATCATCATCATCATCATCTTCTGCTTCATCTTCATCTTCTGCTTCTTCTTCTTCATCTTCTGCGTCGACTGCCCCGTCGTCGTGTTCTTCTGCTGCTGTCACTGCCAAGCAACGTGGCGCATCCATATCCATGTCACCTACCGCGTCGTTGCGGGTGGCAACTGCCGCGACAGACCACAGCTGCACCTTCCCGCCAAGACGAGACTCACAGCTGAGTACGGGCTACCCTTCTGGAGCACCTGCCGCCAACATGATGCCCAGCTCATCACCCAACGACACGCGCGATCACACGATCGCGATGATGGGCTTGAGCCCCGTCGACAGCCGGTCTCATCCATCCCACCACCACCACATGGCCGCGTTTGGCATGCTCAGCAACAACAGTGGGCGCCACGACATGTCCGCTAGCAGCATGGCACTTGACAGCCTGCATCTCCCATCACACTCGACTCCCTTTGGCGATCACCCGACGCAGTGCTTTGATTACTTCGGAGGTCAGTCGTTCACTTACATCACGTGTTCGTTCCCCGGAGCGGGCGGACGGAGCATGGACTGACTGACCCAAAACTATACAGATGTGCATGGAACTCACGCGACGCAGCCGGATTACATGGACGCCGTGACGTATCAGGACTGTCGCACCATGACTTCGACCAGCATGGGCACGAGTCGAGAAGAGTCGCCGTCGAACTTCCTGAGCCCCGCCTCGTTGTCCGATCTGCACTCCCCGAACGACTCGTACAGATCATCGAGCATGACCTCGGTCGACTTGCCATTGGCACCGTCCGCGGCACACATCAGCAGCGGCTCGTCGGTGGAAGAACGCGTCAAGTATGTCTCCGAGCAGGCGAAACTGGCAGGTTTTCCCGACTTAGACGCCATGATCACCGCCTACTACACCGTGCTAGCTGGCGATCATTCGGGCGCACTGGGAGATGGCGAAGGCATCGTCTCCCGCCGTCTGCCCCGTCTGATCGCCACGTTGCGGCACGCTGTGCAAGAATGGAGAGACTGGGAGCGAAAGGGCTTCCCACTGGATTGAATGCCCGGTTTCACAAGTGGTTCCATTTGTGGTGAAGTGTGATGCCTAATGAGGAGTATACTTACGGGGGTACCGGCGGGGGGAAAGGAGATATGATAGAGGTGGAAGCCTGGAACGCGCATATACCACACCATGGCGCCTCAGCATCGGCTGGATAAATTGCGGCGGGATGGTCTGCAGAAGAGACCCATGTGATTTCTTGATGGATAGTGCGAAATCTGAATGGCCAAAATAATGCAAGCGAGTTGTGAAGATGATTGTCTGACTTTGCTATGAACCCCCCCTCCTCACCCTCCCCTCCTTTGAACCAGGCCCCAGTACTAAGGTGCAGTAGTACCTAATGATGTTGATGCCCTTTGCAAGTTCATCCAGCCATTCCACCTGATGATAATGATCATGATGATGATGATGACCATGGTCATGATGAAAATGACGGGGATGATGATGATGATGATGCAGATGCAGATGCAGATGCAGATGCAACGACGGCCAGAAGACTGCGCACCGTGTCCACGATGCACGTCTCCAACGAGTAAAATGTGACCAAGTCTGGGAACGCGTTGCGCGTGTGAGAGTTATCAACCGTGTACATGCCATCCTGGGGCCAACCCCCGCCGGGAGTGCCGGGAAGCGGAATGCAATCTGCTGCGAGATCGTGAAAGTGGTCCCGGGCAATGCGCGCAATATCCTCGTTGGCAAACCAACCCGTGGGGATAAAGTACCTCTCGGACACTTCTTCGGGCCGTTCGAGTGCCAACACGTGGTAATGCGCTGCGTCACTATAAACAAAAAGAAAGGATTGGTTAGTTAGGGACGGGCCGCAAGATGTCAAGCAAGCTTGCCAAATGGTCTTATCTTGGGTCTTTCGGAGAGTTTTTCTTTGTTTTTAGAAAGAAAGTGTCTCTCGCTAAAATGTCGCACTAATTTTCATACCGGACATCGGTGAAGACGAAACTAGCGCCATTGGGCCTGGAGGGGTTTTTTTGCGAATCAGCCTGGGGGTCCGGGGACAGGGGGGTCGGGATGATGATGATGATGATGATGATGGTGTGGAACAGGCATCATCCTTTGATGATCTGTGTGTTGAATCTGTGATGAATCGATGTGATAAAAGGGAATATTCGGAAGGAAGGGAGGGAGGGAGGGAGCACACCAAAAAAAAAAAGAATCGCTTACGGTATCTCGTTTTCTGCCCTAGCCTTCCCGAAGCAGATATCGCGAACTCGTTTCAAGCTTTCGTTGACATTAGCGAGACTGCCTTCCCAAAGATCCCCTGACGCCGTCGGACCGAGCATGAGCGGGGGACAAATGGTCTGTAGAGTGAAATTGGGCCTCTCAGTTGCTAGGAAGTTCCACGCCGCCTGCTCGGCTTGTTTCTTGGAGAAACGATATCCGCAGAGCACATCAGCTAATGCTTGGTCGAGAGTGATTGGGTTCCAGTCAGCTTCGGTGTAAACATGCCCTGGCCAGTTGCCCGCTGTTCGGGAATCATCTTGTCAGTAATAATCATCTCAATCACGGCCTACTCAGTCGTAGTTGTAGTGGTGGTGGTAGTAGTTCGTAGTATGATGATGAGGGGTACCAGTATATTCTCCAGGGTGTGCGTTTCTTCTGTTCGAGAAGCGAAGTACACCCGACAGCCAGGTCAAGTGTGATCGACAGGGCCTCCAACGGGGGTGCCAGGGGTTGGCTTGAACCAACAGCCAGCCAGCCAGCCCTGTACTGCCCAGCCCTGCCGACCCCTTCCAAAAAAGTCACAATCGACTTACGCCAATCACCTTGCCACGGGTGTATCATGGAAGCGAGCGACGATGTGATCACCACGCGCCGGACGGTAGGTGCATGAGCTTTGATGGATTGCAGGATTCCACTGATATGGTCGCACAAGTATGTAGATAGTCAGTGAGACGGGGGTTCCCATATGCCTGCCTTGCTTCCTAGCAAGTCGCCGACGCGGTCGTTTTGTCGTCATGCTGGCGCTGCTTGCACAGTTGCACTAAGGTACTCACATGGTTCCCATGATTGCTGGATCGAGCAATTCTGTCGCAACGGTCAGCACGCGATGCTCTCACCCCGGTCATGGGTGTAGGATCGTGGCACGAACCCTTCTGAATGTCTTTAAGCAATTGACAAGAAGATCTTAGCAGAATGCCCAGTCGCACGAACCCGTATTGCTCTCTCTCTCTCTCTCCATTTTCCCAACGATGCATTGCTTGCTTACCGGTGACATCAAAGTAAAACGGAGAGGTGGGATGACAGACGGCATCGAAGGGAGGCGTCGAGACCACAGCCTGGTCAAACGCCGCTTCTACTGCAATATCCTCCACTATCACCACGTCAAACACGTCCTTGCCGTGTTGTGCATAGCGTCTCAACAATCCGCTCGCCTTCGCTTGCGTTCTTGTCGTCGTCACGACGCTATGCCCTCGTCTGCGCGCGGCGGCAACGAGAGAGCGAAACATCAGTATGTAACAGTCTCCATGTTTTTTTGGGGGGGGGGGGGGGGCAAAGTCACGGGGCAAGCGCCGTGTCTCAGACATACTGAAGCAGCTGATCGATTATGTGGCCCGCAAGGTATCCACTGCCTCCAGTCACTAAAACTCGCATCGTGTTCCGAGATTGTAGTCGTAGTAAGGGCGTGAAACGGGAGTTATTGGAAGGTCGATGAGGACCCTTTCGATGCCTTGCGGGTCCGGCGATTTGGGGATTGTGGCGGGGAATCAATGATCAATGACGGATAGATACTATACAACAAGCCGGGAGCGGCCACGCATATATGCAGTTTCGGGGGGACCAGCGTGGAGGTTAGTAAACGGTGTTGTCGCTGATGACCAATTGTCCATGGAACTAGCTCTCACCCCTTATTATATCATGGCGTGTGAATGCGCGCCCATACCATGTGTGTGGCCCCAAAGCTGACTTGTTGCCTTCCCATTTAGGACATTTCCTTTGCGTAAGAGCCATGTAGTGGCGTGTCCTATGTGCTTCAGCTGACTACTTCCACTGGACACGCCACGTAAGTCTGCTTACGATTCTGACTGTGATTAGCATGGGAGAGCATTGCGGCGCCAGTGCCGAGGCTTGTAACAGTCAGCAATCAAACCACCAGCTAGGAGCCTATAGCATAACTCTTGCATGTGGTCGGGCTCCACCCTTACAAATGGCATCACTCCCTCCAGAATGAGCTACTACATGTGGCCGTGCTGCGGAAGTTGGGAGGTGGGCACTTCATATCCGACACGTCGCTCGATGTGCAGAAGCAACATGTCAGACACGAAGAACTACATATAGCACATGTATCAGTGCAAGGCAAATTGCTTACATGTCCAATAACCAATCTTTTAGCGTGCCGTAACTCTGACTATGGCGGTAAAAGCTCTGACACCAGTCGATAGTGGAGCCGAGTCGACAGATCTCGAAGTCTACTTCACAGAGGCGGATCCGTGTATCAGCCAGCAAGCATACGAGATTCTGGTCGAGTACAGCGGCGTACCTGAGGACCAATTGATATCACACGTCCGGACGGTGGTATGTTCATTTGCCGTGTGCCATGTCTGGGGCGCTACTGATGGAGTCCATACAGAGGGACCGAGCCTGGGCGGTGTTCAAATATCCATGCGTGGGTAATTACTACTTTCTCGAATTCAGCATCAGCCAATCGGAGCACTACCAGTCCGTGCTGGACCGTCTGCGGTGTGGCGAGAAATTGCTCGATCTCGCCTGTTGTTTCGGTCAGGACATCCGCAAGCTCATCCACGATGGCGCTCCGGCATCCAGCGTCTACGGCAGCGAACTGGAGCCCGGCTTTGTGGATCTTGGGTTTGAACTGTTCCAGGACCGCGATCGACTCGGGCCCAATATCCTCTCTGGTGACTTCTTCGCCGACGACGTTGCTGGCCTGGTCAGAGAGCAGTTCGACATGGTTCATGCAGCCTCCTTCTTCCACCTGTTCTCCTGGGACGACCAAGTCGAAGCCGTTTCGAGAGCAATCCGTCTCCTCCGGCCCCAAGCTGGATCGATGGTGTTCGGGCGGCAGACTGCCGTCAGCCACGCCAAGGAAGTAGATCATCCCGCCAACAAGCGCACTGGGAAGATGTTCCGGCATGATATGAGCTCCTTTACGAGGCTAGTGCAGGAAGTCGGTGAGAGAACGAAGCGGCGCTTGTTGGTATCGGTGGCACAGCAGCCGGGCTGGCATGAGCTCGACCAAGCCCATGGGTGGCATCGCATCTCATTCACTATTGTATTGCAATAAGATCGATGGTGTAGGAGGTACCTTAGTGAGAGAGGTAGGAGGTTAGTTACCTGAAGGTAGTACCTCTTACCTCCTAGAGGTAGGAGGTGTAGGGCACGGGCCGCACGGATATGGGCGAGTGGCTTGGCAGAGACTGTCGCCTGAGGCACAAGGTAGTTGGTAGGTCCCTTATCTCACTCGAGAGCCGATGTCGGCACGTAGATAAGGGCTACCTTCCAGTACACTCCACTGCACCTTCCATGTGTACGGTAAGGTACCTTTAGGTAGGTACAGGTAGGTATACATCTTCCACAAACAACGGGCGGAGTAGTGGACAGTCTACAATATCGGGTACTATATACTTACATAACCTACCTACCTTACCTACCTACCTACTGTCACATACATACCTCAGGCAGTCATGCAGTACGCACAAACCGAAAAAGCCCGCCCGATCCCGCCTCGAATCATTATCCACGGCGGAGCAGGCAACATCACTCGGGACAATCTCCCAGACAAGTCCTACCAACAATACCGCCATGCCTTGTTATCCATTCTGCATCGCGCCCATCTGGACCTCCAACAGCCGCATGCAACCGCTCTCGACGTAGCCACCTATGCCGTGTCGCTCCTCGAGGAAGACCCGCTGTTCAATGCCGGCTATGGCGCCGTCTTCACCCGCGACGGCACACATGAACTTGAGGCCTCTGTCATGGTGAGCAGCGGCTATATCAAGCGCGGCGTCGGCGTGATGCAAGTTCGCCACGCCAAGTCTCCCATCAAATTGGCCAGAGCGTTGTTGGTCCGAGGGCAAGGCGAGGATGGAGGCGGGGCCCAAGGACATTGTCAGCTCGCGGGGGAAGTCTGCGACCGTTTGAATCGCGAATGGGGCTTGGAATCGGTCCTGCCGAGTTATTTCTGGTCGCGCAGAAGGTGGGACGAGCACCGCAGAGGTCTGGGTCTGGAGCATGATGATGCGACGTATGAGAGGAATCGACGACAGGCGGACGAGCGCAGGTCGTCATGTACCACTGACGCATTGCCCGCCACCGATGGCAGTGCAGGGCGAGGAGAACATCGTCCGCGGGATCCCAGCTGGAATGGTAAAGACTATTTGCCCCAAGGTACCGTAGGAGCCGTAGTGCTTGACAGTGAGGGCACGCTCTGTGTTTGTACGTCAACAGGCGGCTTGACCAACAAAGTATGAGAAGATCCTCTGCAAAGGAGCAGCCCTTTGAGACTCTTGGACGTGGACCAAGGCTAATCTCCATTACAGCTAGCTGGAAGAATCGGAGACACCCCAACGTTAGGTGCAGGTGAGCTTTGATCTTCTTCTTCTCCTTCTTCTTCTTCCAGCTAACCACCCCACAAAGGCTTTTGGGCTGAGCAGTGGCACGAGAAGCGTCCACCACCTCCCCCAACCACACCCACCGTATCATGGTTCGCAGATTGCTTGCCTAGCCTCCTCCTCCATAGCCATCAGTACTCCGTACTGCCCACTGAAGAAGATGCACAAGGGTACGCCTACACTGCTGTTGCTGATGAAGATGATGATGAACCGAAACGACGAGCCGTAGCTATATCGGGAACCGGCAACGGCGATAGCTTCCTCCGAACCAATGCGGCACGAACAGCAGCAGCAATTGCCCGCTATCACTCCTCGAACCCGAACCCGAACCTGTCCTGCTCATCTTTGCAGAGTGCAGTCACAGCTGTGGCGGGTCCGCACGGCCAGCTGGAACAATCAGCGGGTGACCGGTGGGGCAAGACGGGTGAAGGGGAAGGAGGCATGATTGGTATTGAACTCCGAGATGATCACGGCCACATTGTCTATGACCACAATTGTGGCGGTCTCTTTCGCGCCTGGATCGATGACCATGGGCATCCCCGCTTTGGCGTGTTCCAGGATGAGAAGACGGTGCAGTCCTAAAGTACCTTAGGTATGGTTGACTTGATGTGCCACTGAAAAAGACAGTGACAACCTACCTATGCTTGCATGGCGAACAATAGGTAAGGTACAATAATGACATGTCGTGACTATTGCTGACTGGGACTAGTTTATGCAGCATGGCATGGAAATATAGTTTCCGCTCAACTCCACGCTAAAGTTCGAAGCAAGAGATACACACCATGGTCTCGACAGGGTTCACACCGCCCACGGAGACTGTTGTGGCTGAGAGAACTGTCCGCCGCCGCCGCTGGGTCGTGGAAACACGGGCACTGTCTCGAGACTTTCGAGCCCCATGAGTGTGCCCTGTGGTCCATGTTGCCAGCCCACCCCGGACTGTTGATTCACAAATTGCGACTGGCGGAAGGGGTTGGTGCTGCCAGTAGGTTGCACTTGAAGCGCATTTGGCGGCCCTGGTGAGGCCTGCTCCGGAGCTGCGGTTCTCCTCACGAATGGGTTGGTGCCAGTGGCTTGTGGTACCTGAGGCTGATATTGAGTGGGCGCGCCAAAAGGAGATGTTTGTTGTTGTTGTTGTTGTTGTTGTTGTGTTGAGGGCACATTCTCGGGTATCGGTGCGAACGTGCTTTTTGCAAATGGATTCGTGGAATGTCGGGCGAGACCTTGCTGTGGAAGTGTGCCTGCCCCGAGACTAGGTCCGGCAGCCATCATTGATTGACGAAATGGATTTGTTGTCTGCGATTGGACTGGTGCGGGCGACTGCAGGTATTGCGACCCGGTATTAAAGATTTGCTGATGCTCCGGTTGAGGCCCGTAGCCACCAAATCCGGCACCAGTGAACTGTGTTTCTAGAGGCTGCAATTGTTGCTGTGGAGGCTGAGATTCCTGTTGCCCATAGAGACTCGTCCCATAGCCGTTCATAGCGGGCTGGGATTCTTGCTGATAGCCGACACTTACAGGAGTGTATTGATACCCAGTCATTTGCGGCTGCAGCAGTGACTGCTGTGCTTTCTGCTGTAGGAATGGATTCGTTTGCATCGTCTCCTGATTCTGCTCAATAGATCCGAAGAAGTCTATAAGATCAGAAGCAGGCCCCTTCGAAGCTTCGCTTGGTGCAGCAAGGGTCGTGCTAGGCGCCATATTGTCAAATGGTGTAGACTTTGCACTAGCTGGTGCAGGCTTCGAGGCTTGTAGACCCGACTTTGACAACGCAGCATTAGTACTCGGCTTTGTCCCATCGCGCTCTGCAAGATAGCGCCGGCGGTTCATCTCAAAGTCCTGATCGTCCAGGTATTCCTGGAGCGAAGCTGCGAGACTGGTTGGCGCATGCTTCAGCTTAGGGATCTCGAGTCTCGTAGCGTGTTCGTACTGGCGCGCAACACTGAGATATTGTACAACTTGTTCCGTCTGCTTGCAAAACGTCTTGTAAATAGTAATAGAGCGCTCGGCATCCGGCCTGGACATCTCGAAATAGTGGCTCAGCACATTCATTACTGCCTCATTTTCCACATTGTACAAATCGAGCAGGTCCCGCGTCAGCAGCCGAAACGCCGTCAGGGAGATTTCGTTCTCGACATCGTTGCTGAGTAGGTCGCACTTGACGAGTGCGCGTACCTGGTCCTGCACAATCTCCGTTTGACGCAATAAGCCCGTCTCCACCGTCAGACGCTTCATACGGCCTTCGCCAGCACGCACGTGGTCGCACTTGGACCTCTCGTATGCCTGGGCGCGCGCAAGCAGGTATTCGGAGTACAAGCGAATGTTGTGGCCCTGGGTCTGCACGTCGGTAAAAGTGTTGATGGCCAGCCTGTTGCGCGGGGCCACGGCCAGATAGCGCAGCGTGACGTCCTGCACGCCCTCCTTGATGAGCAGGTGCACGATAATCAGCGCCTTGAAGGCCACCGTCCATGTCGCATCGCGCAGGCGGTTTTGCAGCGTGCGGAACACCTCGGCGACGCCTGCCTCGCCTGACTGTGTCGCCAGCAGAATGTGCTCGACATACTTGGACTTTGGCGGCGCGAGCTTGACTTTGGTGCCGCCCTTGACGCTCTTCTCGAATGAGCTGCTCATTGCCACAGCCGGATTGCTGCGGTGGGTTCCGAGGGACATGAGCGGAGCATCAACAACGGGGGTTCAGTGTCCGGCGGCGGCGGAGGCGGCGGGACGGCGGCGGAGGGGAGGAGGAGGAGCAGGAGGAGGAGCGGGTGGTGGTCCGGCGCAGGCTACGGCGTCGACGGCAGCATTGCAGGCAGATTTGGTCTGCTGAATCCCGGACGATAGTGGCGAAGGCAGTGAGTGAGTGAGTGAGTGAGTGAGCGCGTGGTGAAGGCAGGTCCCTGAGGTGGGCAGGTAGTTGGTATGTAGGTAGGTAGGTACGGTACCTACTTTTCCGCAAAGCTATGAATTAAGGCTGCCTAACGTCGGGTGCTACGGTCAGTCGTAGACGATTCTCCATCACTGTACTAGGTACGTACCTTGGTTCTTTGGTACCTTACCTACATTATTATTATGTATGCTCTGCCATTGCAGACCCGACCGTCATCATTCCATCGGCTCTTCCCGTCCCGGGGATCCGGCACAACAACACCTCAGGTCCACTGGTCCTCCAGGTGAGCACTACTACCTTACCTACATGTACCTTACCTTACCTCCGTGACCGTGACATACGGCATACCTGTACCTAAACAGCATCGCATCTATGCATCGCGGTCAGTGAGCGAGCCACCCGACCTCACCGTCTGGTTCTTACGCTCACGAATCAGTTGGACAGGCGCCTATTCTGCGAATTGGGAGCTTATGAAATCATATGGTCTCTGTATTGTTCTTGATAGCTATGTATATTCTCCCTTCATTCTCGATGAGATTTAACGGACGATGATGTTCAGCCAAGCTATACTCAGAGGTAGCCATTCGTGCAATGGCAACTGTGCGCTACCTTATACCACTACAAATGCACGGTCGGTAGAGTCATGCTGAAGTCATCTGGAATCCAGCTCCTTCCACTTGCGAGCACAGGTAGCGGCTGCAAAGTGGTATGTGCTTCCATTATGCACAAGGTAGTCACTGATCTTCTTCCATGGCAATCGACCGCCATCACGAGCACCACTACGACCTCGAGCGCTCGAGAATCGAGTGACAGCTCTATGAAGAATCCGGAGCTAGTACTGTGTCAGAAAGGTATGGAGCGGGACGAACAAGTCCCCTGCGGATGCGTTGACTTACATCGTCTTCCGTCCACTCTGGTCGACGGACACGATCGGCTTTGTCCTTCGTGAGGACCCTCACGCGACCCCGTAGAGTGGATTCCGCCTCGCGGAAGTTTCCTCTCCTCTTGATCTCTTTATAAGAGAAGCCCTCATGTCTCATCTTGAGCAGGTACTTGTCGCGATCGCGGCGCACCTGAGCATCGTGGAGAGCTCGGTCATTCATATCCTCGCCGAACCCATCGTCGACTTCGGACACAGATTCGTCATCGCTGCAGGCCTCAGGGCTGGCCTCTAAGCTAGCATCAGCAAACTCTTGAAGGCCGCCGAACGCGGGCTGGAAGACTGGCTGCACAGTGGCAGATTGAACAGCAGTAGGCTGGATGCCCTGGAAGCGCTCGTAGCTGGAGATGACGCCGGGGCCTGCGTTCTGCGCGCCATGAGTATGAGGGTCGTAGTTTCCTGATGCATGTACATCAAGCATAGGCCATGAATCTGCTTGCGGCGAAGTGACAGAGGCGAAGGTCAAATTGCCGAAGGACGCAGCAGTCGATGTACAATGAGCTTGTTCAATCATCGACCGAGGCAGAGATGAGGTGGAGGAGAGAGAACCGAAGGAGGTGGTAATGTCAGAATGAGCCTGTTCGAAGGAAGGTGCATCATAGGCCTGACTATTTTGAAAGGGGAAGAATGTAGCACTGAGCTGAGCATCCGCTGGCGTCTGTGGACCGCTGCTATGAGTATCGGTGGAAGATGGCGAAGTAGCATTATCGTCTTCATATTCGGTGACTGAGTACATCCACTGCTCGGGCTGCACAATGTCGTACTCCGAGGTATCAACTTCGACAGCCAGAAGCGAAGGGCTGCGAGTAGTGTAAACGTTGTCGATACGACTAGAGACGGACACGGTGGGCGTGCCACCGTGTGAGGCACTTCCGGAGTAACAATCGGCGGGGTCCAGCAGAAGGAGGTTTCTTGGGACGTGATTGATCATGGGCTGATGTTCTGCAGACGGGGTGAATGTGGTACCGGCTTGATTCATCCACAAGTTCTGCTCCTGACAGCTTCCAGTGACCTTCGACATACTGTTTGGGGATTCTGGGGCACTGACGTTTGCATAGCGATCGTCAAGTGGCAACTCGAATTTTGCGTCACGCCATGAGAAGAGGTCGAATGCCGGGAGATCGCTCACGGCACTTGGTGGTGTCGCGAGATAATGGCTACTACCATCGCAGAAGGTGCTTCTAAAGCTGGAGTTGGTTGAAGTGGCAGGTCTGGGAGTCTGGAGACTGTGATTCATTACGTCTGGTGTTGACTCGCGCACCGGGCGAGGCATCGATGTTGTGTGGCGTGTTAGAGGGTAAGATTGTCTCGCACTCTGAGACTGCCCATAAGACGGAGACATGAATTGACGGGCAGCGTAGTGTGGGTGGTAGGTGGCGAAGCTGGCGGTGGCCATGTTGCGGGCAGTCTCTACAGATTATCAGCATCGCCCACACCACAGCTGCAGCCAGTGGAATGCCGCCGGCAGCCATGAGTTCGGAGTGCACATACCTTGAATTTAGCGTTCCGCACGTCCGTCTAATTGGTTCAATGCCGATCGAATGCACGCGAACGTATATGCCGATGGGATTTGGCAGGAACGCTGGTGTTCGAGCTGGAATATCGTTCAATGAATCAAGTAAGGCGGTGAAAGTGGTGGTGATGGTGCGGCTACTAGCGCGCTCGGCGACTGGAGCTTGCTTGATGCACGAGTGAGTGAACGTCGTGGCTTGATATGCGCTAGGTGGAATTGAATGGTGCGGTCTGCGATGCGGGTCGCGGTGGCGAGGGTAGTGCGTCCAGCCTGCGGGCGTGGAAGCCCGGTTCTTCAAACGATCTGTGGCGGATTTCCGGATCTCGTTCGTTCTTGTGAAGAGCCTGATGGGGGCAATGCAAATGCAAGTGGGAATGGGCCACCGAGTAGAAAAGACAAAACAGCAGCCACCGACAATGTGAAGCAAAAGCGAACAGAAGCAACAAACCAACCTCCTAGCGAAATACAGACAGTGAGTTAGAGGCCTGGGCTTTGCCACGGGCGTCCTCTGTGCTTTGTACATTATGTTTCATCACCAAACCCCACGAACACCCACGAACAGTGCTGGCGATGCGTTTGACACTTGCCGTCAGGTAATGTCGGGAGACATCTGGCAGAAGGTGCCGCGCCTCGGTCATGTGTTGCAGACACATAGACCTGTAGGACTACCGTGTGGAACAGGAGGACACTGGCGTGTTCCGCGCGGGACGGAGTATAGCTGGCACGGGCTGCCGGAGTGGCTAATCTCCATCCAGCATGTCACTAAGAGGCGACAGCTTCCGGACCTGTCAAGAAGAGCATCGCGGAGTGCAGTGTTGTGCGTTCAGTCCGGCCCCTGCAAAGAGCTGATTGCTCGGTTCGTGCCTGTCATCAGCATTGATATGCTGCTTCCCGTTCGCCAGCGCAGAGCATATCCAAGGGCTGTTCATCGCCTGCAGGGCCGTCTCGGCGTGTTCCCCGGGTCTGCTTGCGGGTTGGCTGATTGTCCGGACGACGGCAGAGTGGTTTGAAGGGCCGGTAGTGGTATTGCGAGAGGAGCAGTGTGCAATGTGTTCATGGCGAGGGTGCTCAGAACGTGCGGCGCGGCGAGGCGGGGATGAAAGGGAGTCGGACGGGATTTGCAGGCGAGAATGTATCAGCGAGAGGGTGGTCCGGCATCAATCGTTTACCGGATCACGCAACATGCCAGAGATATGCGAGACATATGCAGGATATGGTTGGTAGCGCGCCGGTAGCATGCGTATTGTGCCAACGATGAGAGGCTCATCGTGGACACAGCATCGAATGTGACAGCTCGATAATGGGAGCATCTCCCTCTCTCTGCCGCAGCAATGCTGCTCTGTCGAAGGCCTTTCGGCGACCATGGTACTGAAGTGAATCTCGGTGGTGGAGGTAGGTGAGTTGCTGAAGTGAAATACCGTAGGTCATGTGCATGTAAGGTAAGCGATGGAGGCGGCTGTCAAGCGAGAGGCACTGGCACTGGCACTGGCACTGGCACTGGCACTGGCACTGGCGGCAACAGTGGAGTGAGGGAAGGTGACACCCAATCAATTATCAATCAAGGAAAGAAGGAGTGGAGAGGAAGGAGTGGAGCCTGGCGACCGCAACCGCGACCACGACCGCGAGGCATAACGCGACTCCCGGTCGTGCCTGTCAAAGAAAGTTGAAAGGACGGGCCGATGCGTCGAGCCGAAGACCCCTTGCAACAGTTGCTGCTGCCCGTCCGTCCGTGTGTCCATCCTGTCAAGCTGTGCCGCCTGTGCCTGTCTGCCTACCTACAGATACAGTACCTTAGCTGACGTTGTACTGAGGTAGTAGGGAGGTAATGTACCTACCTGTAGGCTGTAGGTACAGACCTGTACACACACCTGTACATCAGGTAGGTACATGTACGCTGCCCTACCATCATCCACCAGAGCACCTCTGCAGGAGGCAGTCTGTTCTGCAGTGCTGGTGGGGCACACGCAGATGCACAAACGACCAGACGGCACGGCCTCGCCAGAAGAACATGCTCAGATCATCGTCATGTTGGACGACAGAAGGGATGAGATGGGATGGATGGACGATGAGGCCAGAAGGCCCGTGAACGATGCGACGTTACACACACAGAGGTACATGTCCCTTACCTGTACCTCTGATCCTACCGTCAGCCAAGCTAAACAACAGCGAACGGCTGTTCTATCATGCATGACTCATGCAAGAGAAGGCCTGCCTGAGAGAACCTGAAGTCAGGTCTGCTGTATCTCATCAGCCACATGTGTGCCTCAGGCTGTTCTGTGGGCTGGAGGCAAAGTCATCATTCCTGACGACTCACTGCCTTCTCCAGACTCTCAAGATAAGGTAACCTGGGATGTATAAGGTATGTAAGGTACCTTACGATTGTAATGATAGTATAGTTTCGGCGGCTCGAGAGATGTATAATCAGTCCTGTAGCCACCACGTACCTCCTACTTCACGGCTGTACCTCCTTTAGATTTGAGGTATTTCATTGTAGCAGCGTGAGCAGGGACACATCTCAGCCAAGGCATGTGCTGGAATTTTCTCATTGGTGCAACTTCCATCATCACATAACCGCCTGGTGCCGCCAATCAGGCGTCTGGCCCCAGTGGAGCACACAGACTTCACTTCTGCTGAATCTGCTCTCATCGATGGAGTAGCCGCAAAGGAGATATCCGCGGGTCGACGATATGCGACCTGCACAGTGCGGACAGGACCGGTCAAGCAGAGCACGGCACGGCGCTCGTGCTCAAATTCGAACTGGCCACCCTACCAAGCACCCCCACGCAGCGGCGCTCCATAGCGACCGACAGATTTTGGGCACATACAGGCCGACCAGGTCCATGGCCATCAACTCTTGAAGATCATCTGGTGCCTGCGATGATTACCCGTGGTGTATGGGTGCATCACTGCTATTCCGTGGGACTAGGCACGCGATATGAATGCCTAATAATATAGACCTGCAGGAAACAGACATACCTTAGCCGCCGACACGAGCTTCGCGCCTCCTGTTGACCCTCTTGACCCTCTGTCGGGCCAGCGCAACTGATTATAGTCCGAAACAGGCGCGTCGCTCCCTTCGCGCAGCAGATCCATTTACCATTCAGGACGTCTCAGATCCAGAGTAGGCCACTAGGAGGGCACGCTGAGGGACAATTCAATGCCTTATGCGGAAGCGCTTGAACACGATCGCTAAATGGCGTTTCAGCCTAGCATGCACACGCAGGCCTCAAGGCTTCCCATTGCGAGCTCCACGCCAAGTACAGTGTTCAGCTGTTTCAGCAACACTTTCCCGTGGGCTCGAGGCTCTCATATGGGGATGGAGTGGCCGATATAAACTGGCAGCAACCGCCGCTTCTCCAAACGCGTGGCTATCTTCGAATACTTCCGGTCTGTTTGCACTTTCCCTGCAACGTTGTTTTGACTGCTCGTTCCGCCCTGTACTGGCGTTCTGTTCAAATCATACCTACCTACCTAGGTACCTTACCTTACCTACCTACCTAATTTGTAATCTCAATCCCCTCTTCGAATCTTGCTCCTGGAGCTTAGCACAACGACAGTGTTCATCGCCGCTGGCAGCGATCTAGTGATACAGGTATTGGCGCAACAGCCCGGCCACCTGCACACGTGGATCGATCCGCATGACATACATTCGCAACCTTCCGATCATGCCTAAGCAGACTCAGGTCCGGACATCCGCAAGAAATACCATGCCATCGCTGGCCCCGTATCCTGAAGCCCCACAGCCTCCACAAAAGGTTGCAGCTATATGGAGTTCCAGCGATGATGAGATACTGCTTCAAGCTCGAGCCTCTGGTCTCAACTGGCAGCCAATCGCCAATCGATACTTTCCAAACAAAAGCGCAAATGCCTGTCGCAAACGACACGAACGCCTTGTCGAGCGCCGTCACGGCGACGACTGGGACACGCACAAGCTCGAGCTGCTCGCTGCGGAGTACATGGCGTGTAGAAAGGAGATGTGGGAGGTGTTAGCAGCTCGGGTTGGAGAGCGATGGCTGGTTGTGGAAGCCAAGGTAAGCTACCATGAGCATGTATTGGTGTCTGAGCTTCTTCTAATAGTCCATCATAGTGTATGGAAAAAGGCTTCAAAACGCTGCAAACAACAGCGCGATTGGCACAGAGGAAAGCCTCGGCAGCCTACCAACCCAAAGAAGATCGTTGGGTTATACCAGATCACCACAGCGACTCTGGCATTGGTTTTGGGTCTGACGCGGAGCTAGATGTGGCACCAGGTACATCTTCTAGAGAAGCTGTCTCGTGGCACGCTCGTCGCGCAGGGAGGGAGCAGACGCAGTTGCAGTCACATCAGGAACACGTACGATCGCGCAGCTTGCCACAACCACTGCCTCTCTACCAGCCCCCGCCACCCATTCCACGCACTTTCGAGGGCAGAACAACCACCAAGTTACCTCGCGAACCCTCCCCGCTCCCAACCCCAACAGTCAGTGCACCTCGGCAACGCCGCTCTCTCGATCAGAACGGACGCGGAGGTATCAGTATTCAATCAGTGCTCTCAAGCTAGCAGTTGTTGGAGTTGTGTGTATGTGTGTGTACAGTAACACGCAATCAATGAGAGATACCCCCCGGCACCTATGACTTTCACGGTTTCTTATATGTACCTTACCTTTTATTAACTTTTGTGACGAATGACGACTGCAATGATCTTGTGCGAAAGAAAGGAGAAAAGAGGCAGTAATTCATATTAGGTATGTACGTATACAGGTATGTAGCAATTGAAGGCGGCATCATCTCCTCTTCTTCCATTGCACGGGATGCCAAAGCCAAGACAACAGGTAGTTCCGCCCCACATTTTGACATACAGTAGGTTCTCTTCTCTTCCCGCGCATATATGAGGTACATATGTACCTGACATGTACTTCACTCGAATTGCACATCCTAGTACCCGCAACAACATAAGCTTGAACAAGGTTTGCCAAGCCGATGTCAACAATGAGATCCCGTCTGCACACACGGCATATGTGGTCCACCGTCCACCTGAGCTCTCGAAGACTCTTGGAAGACTCCCGTTATTATATCAACCTGCCTACCCAGGCAAGGTACATAGGTAATCGGACTTCAGATGGTACAGATCTTCCGATTGCCAAGACGTATCTACATGTAAGGTACATGTGCCTACTGACTAAGGTGCTACATATGAGGAGGTACGTTCTCTGTTGTGGTCTGGTTGATGGGAGTGGTGACACGTTCATGGATGACGCCTCATACGAGAGGCCCGGCGCGATGCCGCGCACCCCCGATCGTCGCCAGAAGAGAGCTGGAGCCAGCTTCGATACCTGCTAGTCATAGGAGGTAGGGACATCTGTCCTTGTTGTTATTATGCTTGGGTTCACCCTTGTCGCATGCAATAATGCCTCGACCACATCCACCTCTGTTGTGCAACTGCACCGATTTCGATTCCTGTCCAAAGCGCGCCTCTTCTCGCCGTTGATCCACAGCCACCACCGCCGCCGCGTGTTCCTGAACATCGCCCTGTCGTCGACTTCGCACGCGTCGCCAGTACCGCGCAGCCCCTATCGCTCGCCAGCTGCTGCTGCTCCTGCTCGCCCGACAGCGCCGGCAATGTCGACCTCCTCTGTCACCACGTCGGCCGACCATACCCGTACACACGCTGGCCACTCGCACGCCGGCCATCACCACCACCACCACCACCATGGCGACAATGCATACCTCACGAGCAAGAATAAGAACGATCCCGGCGTGCGCATCACCAGGATTGGCTTGTACGTCAATCTTGGAATGGCCATCGCAAAGGGTGCGGGAGGATATGTCTTCAATTCGAAAGCGTAAGCATGGCCAGCCGTGAGCACGAGCAGTGGCTCGAACAGCGGGAGTAGCAGGAGGTACCTACTGGCGCTTGCTGACGGGGAGTGCAGCTTGACAGCTGACGCGTTCCATTCATTGACCGATTTGGTGTCCGATATCATGACGCTGGCCACTATTTCATGGTCCATCCGTCCGGCAACGTTGAGGTTTCCCATGGGTTATGGCAAGATCGAATCTCTCGGCGCCCTCGCTATTTCCTTTATCTTGCTGGGAGGCGGGATTGGCATAGGCTTGCAGGCTGTTCTGGCGCTGAGCGAGCAGTTCTTCCCGCACATCCACGAAGTTTTGTCCCACTTGGGTTTTCTCGCCCACTCACATTCCCATCATGATCACGACGCCGGCCACGCGGCTGCAGAGCTTGGCCCGAATATTAATGCCGCATGGCTCGCAGCAGGGTCGATCGTGATCAAGGAGTGGCTGTACCGAGCTACGATGAAGGTGGCCAAAGAGAAGCGTAGCAGCGTGCTTTCAAGCAATGCATGTTCCCCACCATACCATTCACTGCTAGGCGACCGTGCTAACAGACTCAGGCGTACCATCATAGGATCGATAGTTTGACTGCTTTTGTCGCCCTATTCACTATTATTGCCAGCCATTTCCTCCCAGGCGCACGCTGGCTGGACCCAGTAGGTGGCTTGGTAATCAGTGGCATGATTGTACAAGCGGGATGGGGAAACACGATGTCGGCCCTCTACGAGCTCGCAGATCGAGGAGTCGATGAAGAGATTCGGGAAAAGGCACAAGTGTCAGCGGCAGCGGCAGCTGAAGCGAATGGCGCGGAGATTCGTGGGTTGCAAGGCATCAAGTCCGGCCAGAACCTGATTTTTGAAGTTGAGGTGCTTGTACCAAAGGATTGGACAGTCATGCGCACTGACGAAGTTCAACTTGCTATCCGAGATGCAATCGCGCAGAAAGTCAGGGGTACCAAGCGTGTCACTATCAAGTTCACCACCAAAAGTACTAGCACTGCTTTTGAAGACGATTTTGTGGCAAGAAGCGACGACCCCGAGCACGGCGCGGATGATCATGGCGATCACGACCATGGGCATGCCAACGGACATGCAACGGAAGACGACAAGCGCAAGTGACGAGCGATCAAAGTGATCAGGAGCACCACTGGAAAGGATCGCGAAAGCAAGGAGCATCAAAAGTCACCAGGAAGCACTACATCCTTCAACATGTCACGTATTATTACGATACCCTGGCGTTGTTCGAACGCTTCTGTAACATTGTGGCTTACTTGCCTTTTGCTAGATCGATGAATGGCTGAAAATATACGACAGCGCAGATTAAGCTCTCGGCTACCACCCAGGTTTAGCACTCCAGAGTGCCTTGTTAGGTGACGACGCAGCAGTTTCGCGAACTTCACATGGGAACACGCACAATATATTGAAGATGGGTGGTCCTTTGCGTTCGGCACTCTCGACTCTGGACACTTCATAGATAACCTTGTTGCAACTGACAGGTACTGTATATAAGCCGACCTCAACATGCATGCTTTGTGGGGTGATGATTGAGCTACCAGACTCGCCAATCAATTCCTCGCTATGCACCCTTTCTGTCTAACTGGTACGAATGAGGCTGATGAGTCTCTGTCCTTGGTAGTGCCATTTGTCAACTTGGCTTCCGACTCCGGGCTGACTTGAAGGCTGATACCTTACCTGATACCTTATACCTGGTAGGTAGCGTAGCTTATGTCATCTGATTCTCTATATAGCAGTTCTACAGTACCTTACCTACCTAGGGAGCCGTCGAAACCTTGTTGCCAAAGATCAGCAACCAGGGCAGCCATCATATTAATTCTCAACAGGGTACATGTGTTGCGTGTGCCTCCACCGTCTTGCCGTCCTGCAAACACTCGCCACCGTGACTTCCACCATTTTGCATTCAACGAGTACTTTCATCTGTGTCTGTGTCTGTTTTTGTGTTTGTGTCTCATCGTACATCCGCATCCGACCACCGGCGCGGGCAGCAGGTTCTACCTTAGGAGGTACATGTACCTACCTGTACTGTACATTACCTGTATTCCTCAGGTTGCCTTCTCACGTGCACTCAACACCGCGACGTCATAAGTGCCTGCCTGACCTCCAGTCCCGTCAATACAGTCCATACCATACCTGTACCTGCTACGAGTACAGTACACACCCTCGAGCGACCTTACGTCGTGGCTAGTATAACGGGCAAATCTGGCAGATCTCGCATTTGAACTTGGCACTTCACACCATGTTTATACGCGACGCGCGGAAACGCGTACTTCGGCAGCTCAATAGTCGATACATCTACGGCCGATATCCTCTGCTGCACGCCATCATCGCCCTCGTCCAGATCACCATGGTATCCATCCTCGTGCGGAAGTTCAATGCATACTATGCGAACAGACCCGTCCTCACCACCATGATCACCAACGCTGTACGTCTGCCGTCGCCGACGAGGCTTGCAGTGCGACTCGGAATTGACTCTTGCGCATAGGTCCTAGGAGGAATCGCGGATACAGTGGCGCAGACTCTGACATCAGTGCGACATCGACAACGGCAGAAGGCGCTCACTCCCCACGATGGCGACGAGAGCATCCTCTCGATTGAGATCCAAGATCTGGACAAGAAGGTGCCCTGGCCCGAACACGACTACCTAACGCCGGCATCCAAGCGTGGACCTCCGCCCTTCGACTTTGAGCGGTTGACGAGGTTCATGGCGTATGGCTTCATGATGGCACCTATCCAGCACAAATGGTTCGGCTTCCTCAGCAGAATTTTCCCCATTGGAGAGGGCAAGGGTACTTTCAACGCCTTCCGCAGAGTGGCCTTTGACCAATTTTTGTTTGCGCCTGTTGGTATGTCAAGCAGTAGTGGAGGACCTACACTAACTGCATCCCACCCTAAATGAGCCTGATTACTGATCTTCTCGTGTCCAGGGCTCGCGGCATTCTTCACATTCATGACGGTCGCAGAGGGCGGTGGCAAGCGTGCGGTCATGCGCAAATTTCAAGACGTCTACCTTCCAGCACTCAAGGCAAACTTCATAGTATGGCCGCTGGTGCAAGTGCTTAACTTCCGGGTGATACCGATACAATTCCAGATCGTAAGTGTACATATATCCACGCATAGGAGGTTAAACGACCCAGAGCTGACCTCGAACCAGCCATTCGTCTCCACGATCGGTATCTTTTGGACAGCGTATTTGTCGCTCACCAACTCCTCGGATGAGGCCGTCGAAAGTCCCGCACGATCACCAGCGGTATCAGCCTGAGCCATCACAACATTGTCCGACCCCCACCTGCTTCCACCCATACCAATACAGGCTTGTGGACATAAAAACTACCGCACTTAAAACTACCGCATAGTCGGAAGGACTCGGAATGCCTTCCTCTACTCCAGCTTGGCGTTTGGGGCATGGCAAGGAGCACAGATAGCATTGCCTCGGAATAAATAGGGCGTCTCTAGCATGCATGTACGTTACTTTTGCGAGATCCTGAAGCGCAGCCACGATGATCCATATGTCAGTATGTGAGTATATTATCAAATACCTGTACGTGTATACCACCGAGATGCTGCCCTCGAACGGACAAAGCTTGACGTAAGATATCCCCGAGACGCTGTTCTTTTTGCCCCGCAATCGTGCAGTTTATCACATCCCAAGTCCGCAACGACTGCTCAATTGTTTATTTCCTCGTTCCACCTCAACTCCATACCTACTCACCCACTTCACATATCCCAAGATGTCTCTCAGCAGCAAACTCTCCATCACCGACGTCGACGTCAAGGACAAGCGCGTCCTCATCCGTGTATGCGTTTCCTCTGGAGGTGCGGGGCTGCGATGACCCAAGCATTGACAGAATATCTAGGTCGACTTCAACGTCCCACTGGACAAAGAAACCAATTCCAAGATCACCAACAATCAGCGAATCGTCGGAGCTCTGCCGACCATCAAGTACGCTGCCGACCATGGTGCCAAATCAGTCGTTCTGATGTCCCACCTCGGACGCCCCGACGGCAAGCCCAACAGCAAGTACTCTCTCAAGCCCGTCGCTGCAGAGCTCGAAAAGCTGCTCGGCAAGAAGGTCACCTTCACTGAGGACTGCGTGGGTCCTGAAGTTGAAAAGGTGGTCAACGAGCAGAGCAATGGAGGCGTCGTGCTTCTCGAGAATTTGCGGTTCCATGCGGAAGAGGAGGGCTCGAGCAAGGACAAGGATGGTAACAAGACCAAAGCCGACAAAGCGGACGTCGAGAAGTTCCGAAAAGGACTGACTGCTCTCGGTGATGTGTACATCAATGACGCCTTTGGCACCGCACATCGCGCGCACAGCTCGATGGTGGGCGTAGACCTCCCACAGAAGGCTTCTGGTTTCCTCGTCAAGAAAGAGCTAGAATACTTTGCCAAAGCTCTCGAGAACCCGCAGCGGCCATTCCTGGCCATCCTGGGGGGTGCGAAGGTTTCGGACAAGATTCAATTGATCGAGAACATGCTGGACAAGGTGAACTCTCTGATCATTTGTGGCGGGATGGCTTTTACATTCAAAAAGGTGCTGGACAATATGGAGATTGGAAACTCGCTGTACGATGAAGCGGGCGCGAAAAAGGTCAAGGAGCTGGTCGAGAAGGCCAAGAAGCAAAATGTCTCCATCACTCTTCCCGTGGACTACACTACAGCAGACAAATTCGCGGCAGATGCAAAGACTGGCTACGCCGAGGACAAGGACGGTATTCCAGCCGGATGGATGGGACTCGACTGTGGTGAGAAGAGTATCGAGCTCTTCAAGAAGACGATCAACGAGGCCAAGACGATTCTGTGGAACGGACCTCCTGGCGTCTTCGAGATGAAAGCCTTCGAGAAGGGCACTCGGGCTACGATGGACGCCGCAGTTGCCGCGGCGCAAGACGGCAAGATTGTCATCATTGGTGGTGGCGATACTGCGACTGTCGCAGCGCAGTACGGCGTTGAGGACAAGCTTAGCCACGTCTCTACGGGTGGTGGTGCATCACTCGAGCTGCTTGAGGGCAAGGACTTGCCTGGTGTTTCGGCGCTGTCCGAAAAGTCGTGAATACAAGGTGGTAACAGGAATAGAAGTAGTAGCAGTAGCAGGCTATGATGCCCCCACCTCAGTGGTTATTGCGCTCAGATGCGCAGCTGCAAATAGTGTTGATACCTGATCGGCATTCCAGTTAAACGCTGCAGCCTCTCGTCACTGCTGATGCGTCCCAGCTGGTCCCCAGACCAGGGACTTGCGCCGTATTCATGCCCTCGCTGGCTGTCGTCTGTTGCTTCGCGAGGGGCGCTCTCATATGTCATATTCGTGCCTCTCCCGTCGTCCCTCTCCCGTCGTCGTCGATGTCGTTGTCGTTGTCGTCGACGCCGGTGCTCATTTGCCCATCTTCTTCAGCTCCTCCTTCAACTGTACCGAGAAGTCATCGGTCGTGTCGTCGTCGTCCCAACTCTCCTCCCAGAGATGCGTGCTTCCCGCCTGTTGGCCAACCTCATCTTCTTTTCCCCAGTCTGTTGTCCCGCAGCAGCAGCAAGGTCAGCAACAGCTCTCCCTCGGTCATCCATCCATCCATCCATCCATCCATCCCACCACTCCTGCCAACAACAAGACCTTTCTACTCACTCACCTTCGACAGGAAAATCCTCAAACTCGTCATCCTCCTCTAGTTGCGCGGCTTTGTTCTGGGTCGGCAGGGGCTTCTCGGTAGAGTTAGAGGTGGCGGCGTTGGCTGATGCTGCTGCTGGTGCTGCGTTCGCGGCCTTGTCGGGTGCGCCTGGCATGATGAGCTGTAGGGATGTGAAATGGGTTGGTGGCTTCTAGTTGGTTTGCAGTTGCAGTCATGTGCTGGTTGGCTGGTGGATGAAGAGGGAAGTGCAAGGTACCGTAGCAGTGTAGCTTCTAGGTTGTCGACAGAGCCGCAGAACGGAGGTACCTGAATGCCTTGGCGTCATGAATCCCAGGCGTTTTGGGGGCAAGCTTCCAGTTTGCAAGCAGCCCAGCCCAGCCCACCGCAGCCAACACCCGACTTCACTTCCGCCCTCCCACCGCCACCCACTCCACTCCTCGCGGACGTCCTCCAACAACCGCCGGCCGTCCAATGTGCGGTATTTTCTGTGCAGTCGCGAGACATGGCTGCCATGTTGTACCCTCTTCGACTGTCAAACAGCGGCTCTTAGCACGGGGTCCAGACGCATCGAAAGAAATCCTCTTCACTGTGGGTGGAGCATCAGGGAACGATGTCGTCTCTCTCACTCTCTTCTCGACCGTCCTGTCTCTTCGTGGGCCCGTGACCACCGAGCAGCCTTTCCAACAACACGGTTCTTCGGACTCGGCACTGTGCTGGAATGGTGAAGCATGGAACATCCGGCGCCAACGCCTAGACGAGAATGACAATGACACGGCTGCTGTCCATGAGCTGCTCTGTTTGGCGCTCTGCCCGCTGGGGCAGTCTGAAACCAGACTGCAGGAATCTGCCGTTGCCAGTGCCTGCACTGTTTCGAGGACTCTGGCCCAGATTTCCGGACCATACGCGTTCGTCTACTACCACAAGCACACGTCTAGGTTGTTCTTTGGACGAGACTTTCTGGGCCGCCGTTCCTTACTGTGGAAAGTTGGCCAACACGGAGAGCTTCTGCTCAGCAGCATTGGCGATGGGTCACTGGATGGCTCTTGGACAGAAGTGGAAGCGGATGGCATTTATTGCATCGACTTGAACTCAGCCTCCGACGCGGCTGCGTTACCAACTGCTGATGAGACCTCCGCAATTTCGATTGATCCACGTGTGTTCAAGGTACCATATACGGTTTCACACGCTTCAGATGATACTACCTCTGTAGGTTTGCTCGACTCGGCTTTCGGAGTATTCGTACTCATATCCAGGTAGGTTATTCCTCTTCTGTCACTAAATAGGAACGTGCCCCAAATCCATAGACTTCACGAATGTTCCCCGTCTGTCTCCACGCTTGGAGATCTATTGCGGCAGTCACTGTTGCCAAGAACTCGGGGAATACCACTAGACCAGCCGGCAGATCAATCTGTCCATCGGAATGCCAGAATTGCAGTCCTTTTCTCGGGAGGACTCGACTGCACACTACTGGCAAGGCTCTGCCATGATCTCTTGCCCCTGGAAGCTACTATTGACCTGCTCAACGTTGCATTTCAGAATCCAAGAGCTCACAAGAATGCTGGAGATGGTGCCTATGAGCTGTGCCCAGATCGCATAACAGGTCGAGCCTCACATGCCGAACTGCTCAAAGTGTGTCCGGGACGAAATTGGCGCTTTGTTGCAATTGACATTCCCTATACGGAGTACCAGGACCATCGTGCACAAGTCATTGATCTGATTTCTCCCCACAACACCGAAATGGATCTCAGCATCGCCTCTGCGTTGTACTTTGCAGCACGCGGGAGGGGTCAGGCTGCCAGTCTGGAGTCTGGTGAGGTCATACCATACACGACCCAGGCACGAGCTCTCCTTTCTGGACTGGGTGCTGATGAGCTGTTCGCTGGATACACACGCCATGCTACCGCCTTCAGACGACAAGGATTCAAAGGGTTGCTAGATGAATTGAGCCTGGACGTTGGAAGACTTGGCAAGCGCAACCTGGGCCGCGACGATCGGGTGATCAGCCATTGGGCCAGGGAAGCAAGATTTCCGTTTCTTGATGAAGCTGTTGTACAGTGGGCACTAAACTGCCCTATTTCAGACAAGTGCGACTTTGGTGCAGTCGAGGCTAGCATTGACAGTATTGATGAAAACACGTGCGCAACCATCGAGTCTGGCAAGAAGGTGCTTAGGTGCCTTGCCTGGAGATTAGGCATGAAAGGCGTGGCCCAGGAGAAGAAGCGAGCGGTAAGTCTGCTCTATATATGAGCGTATTCCTCTCTAAACTTGCCGCAGATCCAGTTCGGCGCTCGCACTGCCAAGATGGAGACCGGTAAAACCAAGGGCACTTCACTTTTATCGTGAAATGGCAAGCTATTCTGAGATAATAGTTGCCCCCATAGTAAGTTCCTACCAGCTGCTTTCACTAGCGATGCGATGATGATGGAATGTGTCCTTCCTAGAGCACATTCAGATACTTGTGAGATGCTACATATCCTGACCTAGCCCGCCCTAGAGGGTGCGGTTTGGCAGCGAAGAGACATCGATGACCTTGTTAAAGGCAAGTCTGAGCAACGCCCATAATAGTCAATGTCGTTTTATGGCAGATTCGCTTTGTCATTCGTCAGCTAATGATATGATTCTGTCAGCGCAGGATGGATAGTCAGATGTGATGAGTCCTCGCTTCTTGGCGACCGTCTCATTGAGCTCTTCCAGGGAGACATTGTTTGCTCTTAGCACAGGTTCAGACTCACATGAACCCAACATCTGATTGAACGTGGCGATACACAGTGCGCGACCCTCCAATCAAATTAAGATCACACAATATGAGAATGAGTGGCTACCACCACCGTCATTTGAAGAAATATGTTCCTGTACAAAAGTCACGCGTTCCAGGTGGATTGAGCCAGCCATGTGACAAGAGGAGACCAAATGCGAGGTGGAACGACTACTATTCTGCAACGACTCCTCAGCGACAGCTATATTGGTCCCATGCCCTCGAGTGTAAGAAGCAATCGCTGGGAATTGCATTGAATGTTTGCTGAGTGTGCGCGTGGTCGGTTCAGTTAGGCAGGCTATATGTGCACGTTCCGATAGTCACTTTATTGGGACTTGTGCTGACAGGAGTAAGGTCGTAAGTGCCGGGTGCATGTGTTAGGGCAGCAAGCAGGTCAACGCTAGAAGGTAAGTACCTTACTTAATAACCCTCGAGCTCTCCAACTTCTTTATTGTTTCAATACAGAATAGGAATACCTCGAGGACTCTTACAACTACCGACAAATACGAATCGTAGGAACATCGACTTATACTATTGGTACTACTCTGTGCCTTTATTCCGACTTCACCTTGTGAACCAGCCACAGCCATCTCTCTTCCTGCATCAAAGTTAAAACCATCTGCGACATTTGTTCGGGACTACCAAATGTCTGTCTCCTTGACCAGCGCCGTCACGGCCGCTGCGACGAGCATCTCCACAGGACTAGCGGTCTCAGCAATCAAGGCGTGCCCAAGAGACCTTGTTGTAATTATATGATGTCCACTTCTGAAAATCCGGAAAGCTAATGAGATACAGGGTATCAGTCCTGACGATGACCAAGGCAGCGATGGCGTTTTCAAGACGCAGTCAGGCAGCGTGGTATCTGGGAAGTCCACAGTACGTGTTCCTGAGTCCCGTTACTCTGTCATACATGACCACCCCATTTCTTGGTTATGGACAGGCGCTCTCTTGTTTTCATTAAGCAATTGCAGTCGCAGCTGCACTTCATGTTCAAACTGACCTTCACAGACTTCTCCTACGATGCTGTCGTCCGCGCTCCGCCCTGCCAGAACCTCTGGCCCGAGAAGTCAACAGCGTCGCAGTGCAGAAACCTTAGACCTCGACTTTCAATCTGTCACCGATGGGCTCACGACTTCTCATTCGACTCCTGTGACTCCACAACTGGGCGGTCGCGGGCTCGATACAGCTACAACTCATCTGTCCTTTGGGCCAACCACTCTCCGCAAGGTTCTGGTCCGTACAGGCGAGCCACCTCAGCATTACGCTCACCATGCAACTGGGGCGGTGGCCAATTCTGCTGGCGGACAGGCTACCAATGCTATCGACGCGATGGCTGAGACCGTGTCTAGCGTCTCTAGTCTGGCGACCCACGTGCCTCTTCCACCTGGGAGCTACAGAGGTCCCATGATCGTTGATAATGGCACGATGCCTCGATTGCGAGCTTCTGGTACCGCCGGTTTGGGCACAACACTTGCCTATGAAGTACAAGAGCTCCCAGACACGTTGACTGAAATCAAATTTAACGTGTTGCCGATGGTGCAAGCGCCAGTATGGACGTCTGGCGACAAGGGAGCGTTCTTCTTTGTTCCCATCACACCGGGCCGAGAGTCAGTCGAGCTCGAGGAGACGTTGTCTACAGGACAGCCATTGTACCAAGCCAATGGAGAGTTCAGCGCAACAGGCGTCTTCCTTGTCGATGGCGTGCCGCTGTTGAAGTTGACGGGGAACTCAAGCAGAATCGTTACCACGGAACATGCGTTGGCTGCTGAATCATCGAATGCACTGTCTTCCAGTGCAGACAGTATGAACGTCACAGAAGCGCCTGCTCCGACACATGTTTCGCCTGATGTACAGCTGCGATGGCTTGGCCGAGGAAAGCCCAAAACAACAGCACATGCCACGAAACCGGTATCGCATGCCGCCAAACCGACTGCTGGCAAGGGAGGTGGACTGCTTGGTCATCTCGCAAAAGGCGTCAAGAGCGCAGTTGGTGGCCACGGAATTGCTATGCCAAAGACCAAGACCCAGACGCATCACACTGGCAAACCGACAGCAACTGCGACAGCGCATGCTAAGACCGGACATGGTAAGAGTATCCACACTGCAGTCCACGAACCTAGCGGACCCCATCCCACAGGCGGACATGGGAGTGAGCATTCTGCTCCCCATGGACAGCAGGCCCATGGGCATGCTACCCAAAATGACACGATGGCCACGCCTACCGGTGTCTCGGATCTTGGAGGGGGCCATGCCCAGGAGCACTCATCGCATCCACCTTCGAAGCCCCAAAGCGAAGCATCAGGTGAAGATGGGTTATTGGGACCAACAAGTGCTGACGAAGTGGGAGTGGCAGGTGGAGACGAAGCGGGAGCAGTAGGTGAAGACGAAGTGGGAGCAGCAGGCGAAGACGGAGTAGGAAGCGCAAGTGGGTCTGAGAATTCTGAAGCGACTCACATGGAGGAACCTGGTGTCGGGCTTTGACTGAGGCCACGAATGACAGGGAGATTTGGGGCGCGACAATGCGGCGACATGACTTGTTGACGTTATCTTGCGAGTGAATTTTTGCGAGTGAATGGGGCTGAGTGTAATTTGAATTCATACAGATTGCTGCGAGAGATTGATTCAAAGCGATGCCAGCGAGCGACTTGCATGTAGGTAGATAAAACATCATTTTTGCCGAACTTCACTTGTTATCTGTCTCCCGTCCCCCTGATCCCGTCCACTCGTAACCACTTCCAGGTTGACTTGGACAGTTTTCGGTTCTCCGGTTGGGGCCGCAGGTCTCGGGTCGGGTCTTTCCCCACGTTCGGGACGGACCGTCTCCTCACTTGGCATCAGCCACTCGGCCTCCTGCGGCGGGTGCCGAAGCTAGCGCGGAGATTCGCGCCGATCTTCTGCAGACCGCACGGCGCACGCACGCATGCCTGCATTCACATGCACTGCTAAGAGGTAGCAACACAGCAGAAGCCGCGTCGTGCTGCTGCTGCCGCCGTTTCTTTCCTCACAACACCAACAACAGCACACCACTCGAACCACCGCTGCCGCCGCCACCACCTCCTCCACCTCCACCACCATCCCATCGCTACCACCACCACCGCTATCACTAACACCTCCACAGAACAGCACCGTGCAGCGCGCACGATGGCGAAGAAGAAAGGCAAGAGTGAGGCAGCCCCGCCCCCGCCGACGGGGCTGGCCATCTGCAGGAATAAGTAAGTGACTGGAGCGATTGAGTGAGTGAGTGAATGCGCTCCTTGTCGCGCTGATCTTGCACTGACCTGCCCTCGTCGTTGGCGTCAGACACTGGCGCTACATCTCCTCCTTCCATGGGCCATGGCTACAGCTTCCCCCCGAGATCCTCGAATCGCTCGCCCACCAAAACTACATCATGCCTGCCCCCCGCTTGGTGGATCCTGCCGTCTTCTTCGATGTTGTCAAGATCCGAAAAGCTGTCGATCAGGCCGCCGAGGATTCGGTGCGCGCGTCGACGGGCCTCTCGAACACTGCCATGAACGGTCGCATGGAATACTTTGGCACGCAAGCAAATGGCCCAGGAAGCCAGCTGAGTAAAGAACGAATCTTCAAGATCCGTCAGAAAGCTGTCAAGCTGCTCTCGTCGGCCTTCCAGCTCGACGAAGTTGCTGCAAGTGTGGCGACGATGCAGGCGACCAGCACCGTCGAGGACGTGGGCCAGCACGTGCTGAGGAGAGACCCGCATAGCACAGATGCCCGTTACGTGCACTTCTTCCACGAGAAGATCCCGAGTCGCGCCATGGAGCAGTATACCCCTCTGGATCCGCTCAATGAGATCATCCAGGCATTACCCATGGAGCTGCAGCCTGCGCCTTTGCGTACCCGCGCCCTGGTTCAGATTTTCAAGCACCAATGGGACGGTGCCGTCTACGACTTGACCATCGCGTTGCGAATCATACATGACCTGAAGCGGGTGCACCAGCCGGACCAGCAAGAGCTTGAGTTGGCTAGTAAGATGAAAGCAGAGCAAGAAGCATGGCAAAAGGGCTGCAGAGACTGGCGATCAGCGCCTCAACTAAAGGACGAGGAGCAGCCGAAGAGCTTGGAGATGCAACTTCTCTTCAATCGCGCTGGAGTCTACCTGACCATTGCGTGTCAAAGCGTGCACGCTGCGCTCGACGGCCTGCCACAATTCCAGGAGGCAAGTGCAAAGGGTCAGACCGATGGAGCGCACCACAAAGCGCATGAAGAGAGACTCGCCGCACGCAAGATTGTCAAAGTCAATGCAAAGCGTGCTCTCAAAGACTATGAGGCCTTTCTTTCGCATTTTGACTATACACCGGGTCTGCCTTTCGAAATCACCAACGAGATCATGAGGAGAGTGTACGACCTGGCCAATGGCAACAGGACACAAACCTCGCTGCCGAGAAACAGGCTGGTGGAACTGAACGATTCCGGGGACGATTCCGAGCACGAAACCCATTGTGACGATGCAGGCGCGAATACAACCCCAGCTGAGAAACCGCTCGTCAAGGCATCAAAGCCCACATCCGAGCCATTTGAACGTGGCGAAGATGGCTGGCCCAAATTTCCGTCGCCCAAGATACACCCTGCCAGTGCATTATTCGCCCCTCAGCCTCCCGCAGATTTACCACTGTTCCCGACAGAAGAGACGACGGACGCTATGCGCAACAACGACACCTTACACGAAGCCTTTGGTAGCCGTGAAGCAGTTACATATCACCCTCTCCTCACTGATGCGCTCCACTCATTACTCTTGGCACATTCTCTCCTTCAGACGAGTCCCACCGAGATCCTCCGCCATGCCCACAATGCCGCACGCCTAGCTCGAATTGCAGACGGATACCCGATATTTCAGGCAGCTCGCAGCCCCGCACGCGCAGATTGGATCGAGGTGTTGCGAAGAGCCAACAATTGGCTCGGTCTCTCCCTGCCATGGCAAAAGCTGTGTGCACCGGCGCCATTGCCAGATGCTGCTGGTGGCTGGGCCAAGGAACCAACGTCTAATGCGCTTGCAAAGCCAAAGGAACGCCAGGTGGAGACTGTAGAGCAGAAGCGTGAGCGAATCAAGCAAGAGTCCATTATCGACGCTCTCTCCGATGACCGCGTGGTTGACGAAGAGTCCTTTCAGCGGGCTGTACGTGCGAGAGAGCTCCGAGCAATGGAAGACGAACAGGGCCTCAGTGGTCCGCTCAAGGACAAAGAAGACGCAGCTGCGTCACATTCTAACGGATCATCGACACCATCCACCACCAGCAGCGAGAGTGGTCTTCCTCCGCCGAAGCGATGGGCACAAGACGAGAATGGTAGGGAGTATCCCATTAGTACTGAGCGTGCCGAAGCGATTGCTCGTTGGATTAAGGAGTCCCCGCTCAGTATGGGGGTGAAGAAGAAGAAAAAGAGACCGGCAGGGCGGAAGCCAAGCGGGGTGCTCGCTGAGCTTTGAGGGCGACGAGGACGAGAATGATTCTGATGAAGCGTTGTGCTAGGTTATCGATGAGCTCTGCTGAGTTGGATACCCTTGAGCACAGAATGCTTATGACTGACGTGAAGTGAATTGAGTTATCCTCCTTTTCCGGGGATAAAATTGTTGATGACCAGACTAGTCTACTAGACTTTGAAGAAGTAGCATACGAGAAGTAGGATATAATATTTCCTCCCACTGCTCGTTACGATCCTCTTCGCACTGCCCGTAATTCGACAATAACAACAGGATACCTAGCTTAGACAAAATGAAGTCGAGTCCTCGAGTCTTGCTTCAGGGTCCGAAGTGGTGCTGCCGCTGCTGCTGCTCTTCCTCTTCCTCTTCCTCTTCCTCTCTGTCTCTCTCCCTCCCTCTCATTTCTGCGTTCGCAAGGAGCTAATAACTTTCTGCAAAAGAATAAGAAAATTTTGTCAGTCAGTCTATTCTTTCAAACTCGATAGAGAGAGAGAGAGAGATGCTATTTTCAAGATAATAATAATAATGTTGATAATGGACGGGAAAGTTGACGTACAGCAAGTGCCTCTGGATTGACTCCGTTCTCAATAAGTGAAATGCAATATGATAAACATTGTCGATCGAGGTTGGTATTCTAAATACATATGATTGTGTTTTTCATCTGGTCAGTTCAGTCTGTGTCTGTGTCTGTTGTTTGCGATGGAGGAATCTTATTGATATCAATCAATCAGAAGCTACAGGTAGGTAGGTAGGTAGATAGGTAGGTAGGTACATGTAGGTGGGCAAGGTAAGTGAAGGTAGGTGCTGCTACAACGGCTACTGATTCCATACCAATATCGTGGAGATCTCGAATAAAATGTCTACCGTGTCGCGTGCGGCGCGTTTCTTGGTATCTTGATCGGCTGGAGGCATGGTGGGGACGTTCTTCTGAGGTCTGTTCTGAGTGGAGGGCACACGCGCGTGTGTCGTGAGTGTGCTGTGAGTTGGTGTGGTGTGGTGTGTTATGATGTGGTGTGGTGTGGTGTGGTGTGGTGTGGTGGGTGTATGTGTAATGTGTGTACGGGTGTGCAAGAAACAAAGGAGGGAAGGAGCAGCAACGAAAGTTTGTTCAGAGAGGAGGATCACGAGATGAGAGCCATTTCCAGCAAGTCCAAGTCAAGCGCAATAAATATCATTTATTCATTACCTTACCTTGATTACCTACATGCATCATGTGCCTTGAGAGGTGTGTCCGTCTTCCATATTCTACATGAATCACTACAACAACACAAAGCTGCAATGATGAGACCTGCCGCTCATCACCACCATTGGATCATCATGAAGAGGAGACCGACCGTCCTGTTGCGCCGTGGTATCGTCTGATGACCCCAAACATCCTCCTATCCTCCTTGTCCTGACCCTTTTTTCCTTGTCTCCAAAGTACCTCCCGGCCATGCAGCACCACCACCAACACCACCACCACCACCATGTCGTCGTCTCTTGGTAGTACCGTAGCGTCAGGGCACGCACGTTAAGTCGTGCCTTCGTCCACAAATGCGCTCAATATTTGGCCTGGTTTCCAACCCGTCGCTTCGAGAGTCTGATCATCATTCAAAATTTTCCCCAGATGTATGAGCCTTTTCAGTCGGACATGGCTCTGCTCTTCGATCTTTCGTCTCAGCACGGAAATGGTCTGTTTCGTACCAATGTCCACAGTCACGTCTCTCGCGGTATTGTTCAAACGCGCCGTCACGCGCACCTCGTTACCGATATCCCCATCAGCCCGCCCCTTCCCCTTCTCTCGCGTCGCCCCCTGGAGAGAGGTGGCGTCGTCTCTCGTGTCGTCGGTGTCCTTCTCATCATCTCCCTGCTCGATAATGTCCGCTGGGTCTGTGACCAGCCAATACGGTATCTCGTACAGTTTGCCTCGCGAATCATACACTCCCTCCAGTTGTCTGTTCTTGCCCCGACCTCGGGCCACCCTCCCGTGGGGGCACGTAATGTTCGCGGCGTCCATGATGGCCTGCGCTTGCGCCAGATCGCCGTGCCGCATGCTTTCCGCAACCAGGGCCAGCGCATTCCATACCTCCCGACTGTTGTTCGTTCTCGTGTCAAAGAACTCTTTCCGCTGCTGCTCGAGGATGGCCCTGGTCCACGGCGGCTGGTGGTAGGAGAAGTTCTTCGGGCTGTGTCGAACCGGCTCGGGCGGCTGAATGGGCTGGTTTGGTCGAGTCACCGTGCCATCTCCTCTACGACTCGAGGCGGACCCGGCAGGCTGCGTCGGCACACTGCCTAAGTAGTTGTTGGGCAGGGAGTGGTCGGGCGTGCCGGCGACATTGGCACTGGTATTATTGGCAAATGGCGACTCACCGCGCACTGCTCCCGCTCTGGACTGACAGCAACCCTGCGCTCGACGATCCGGTCAGCCTTGCTCTGAAGCCTTGCCTTGCCTTGCCTTGCCTTCCCTCGCTTTGCCTTGCCTTCCCTTGCCTTGCCTTCCCTCGCCCGACCTGGCCTGGACTGGCCGGGTCAGACCAGACCGGACCAGATCAGACCAGATAAGACAACCTATGTATACCAGACACCACCTGCGATGCAAAGGTCAATGCTCACCATGTCGTCTCTCTCATGCTGCTGTCAGCACACACCGCACCGCACTGTACCGCACCGCACTGTCCGCTCGCGACGCTGTGTTCGCGATTGATGACCAAATATTGTCTGAAACAATGTCCGCTCGCATTCCGCCCAGCGTATATACGGTGGTGGACGATGGTGCGCGAGCCAAAGGAGGATGTAATCACATGTGGGTGTGGGAGAAGGCGAAGCTTATATTCGAATATGTGCATGGAAGACAGGCAAAAGTGACTTCACCATGCCCTCCCCCAAGGGCACTAAAACTAACTCAAATCGCTGCTTACCTGTTTTACTCCACTATCAAGTTGGCACGGAGACGCGCATGCGCCTCTCATTATTATATCGTGTACTGCCTGTCAGCAGAGATGCTGCGAATTGAGGTCTAATATTCTATCATCTCGTGGCTTGGGAGGCTGCTCTCCTGCTCTATCACACTGATGCGCCGCCGGTCGATGATTGCCGCACCCGCGCGTCATCCACGTCAACTGGTCCAATACCGAAGCCATATGCCGTCTTCCGTCGTCGACTTCTCCGGTCTCCATACTGCTCATCGAACTTCCTGATAGCTGTCAGAGAGCCCATATCTTCGCTGATGCTGGCCGATATCTCCTTCACCGCCATCTCGAAGTGGCGACTGGACAACGTCCGCTTCGCTGGAAGCTTGAACTCTTCACCCTCCTTCCTCTTGCTCTCCACAAGCTCGTTCTCCTCGCGCACGCAGGCCAGGGCCGCCGATACGCACACATTTTTGAGGTCAGATCCCGAATAGAGCGGTGTATCGACGGCCAGCTTCGGCAGGTCGACAGTCTCGTCAAGTACCTCATCGTGGAGGTGAATCTTCAGTATAGATTCTCGGTCTTTGGCAACCGGCAGGTCAACCAGTAGTCTTCGCGGCAGTCTTCGCAATACTGCGTCATCAAGATCGAATGGACGATTGCTCGCAACCATGATGAATACATTGTGCATGTCCATCCCGTCCCACTCCCGCAGAAACTGGTTGATTATCTCACGATGCGTGTTTCTGTTACCAGCATTACTGCGACTGCCAAAAATGGCATCTGCCTCGTCGATGAAGACAATGCAGGGCGACAATTTCTTCGCCAAGCTGAATACTGCTCGTACCATTTTCTCGCCCTCGCCAACGTACTTTTCGTAGATTTGGGCACCACTAATCTCGAGCACGGTAGCGCCACTTTCCTTGGCCACAGCTTTGGCAAGCAAAGTCTTACCCGTGCCTGGTGGCCCATATAGCATCAGACCGGGCAGTCTGTCTGCAGCAAGTACACCATATCTGAAGGCGTCAGGCCGCAGCAGAGACAACGATGTGAGCGTCTTCAGAGCCTCTATTGTCTCGAGGGGCGCGTGAACCTGGCCAAAACCAGCCTTGATATTCTCAGCGTCAACGACGCCAGGCAGCAATTTACTCTCGTATTTGTCCAAGTCTTTCTTTATCTTTTCGATGGTAGATGGCTTATTCGAGGCTGTGCTGCTTGCTTCTGAGCCGGTGACCCCATCAGGAACTGGTCCTCGGGTCTCTTTGAGACGCTGGTGCTCAGTCCAGTCACGCTCGGTCTGTGCTGCTTGCCTGGTAATCGTGGTGGCAAGTCCCACGTGGCTTGCATTGACATGGTCGGCAACTGCATGGACTTCGGAGAGTCCAATGGCTGTGAGCACTATGCGTTGAATCATGTCGAAGGTCATGACCTCCTTGCTCAGGACGTCGTCAGCACCTCTAAGTTGACGTTGGGCAGGTGCAGTAAACAGATCGACGGTGTCCCCGGGACGCAGGCTGTTCAGCATCCGCTGAATGTGACGAAGATTGATCTCCAAGATGCGACTGTAGGGTGGCGTTGCTGGATTGTCAATTGCCGACGTTGTGGGCTTGAAATTGACTTGATCGTGCTTCGACATGCGAAACACTGCTGGCACAGATATAGTAATGAAATCGTCGAGAGCTTGCGGTACAAGAACGAAGTTAGAGACCTGATGGCAAGATGAGCCGACAATTACGATCTGTTGACCTGCTCGACGCCTCTTCTGGACCACGGACACAAGTCGCCGTATGATCCCTTCTCCGACGCGCGAGCAAACAATGTCACGGAGGTCGCGAACATGCACAATGGTGCGCTCTGTACTATCGTTTGCTGATACATTTCCCAAATCGGTACCTGATGGCTCCAGAATCAAGGATGACCCATGTGGCGAGTCTGGCTTGGAAGCTCTCAGTACTAGAGACGCGATAAGACCAGCAATGTCAGGCAGCCAGCAACCAGCACTGGATCGCCACATCCGCGATAGAGCTTGATAGGAGACATCGGACTTGGCTATGCCCCCTTCCTTGCCAGCTTCAGCTGTATGCAGGCTGGACCTACGCTGGAGGCTACCACCTCGGCTCTGCTTGGGCGCGTCGAGGATTTGGTCAAGCAGGCTACACAAGCGAGCTTCGTCGTAGCCCGGATCATTCCGGGAACTTACCGAAGTGACCTGACCGAAAGGCTTCGAATATCGCGGTCCCATCTCCACGATGATGTCCCCAGGCCCAACTTTATCCAATTCTTGCGCAAAATGGTAGGGGCGGCTCATGAGCCTCTTCCGAATGCTGTTCAGACTCCATGGAACTGAATTGCCCATACCGCTACGGCTGCGGCGGTCTTCCTGCTCATCCTCTTCTTCGTCCATGTCGTCTTCGTCGAGGGGCTCTTCGTCTTCGTCTTCGGTGCGGCGAGCTGAAGGAGTAGTAGGAGATTTGTAGCCTCCAAACACGTCATATGCGAGATTAGAGAGCGAGCCAGGCGAGTCAGAACCTTGGCCAACATAATCAGCGCTCAAGTCGGCGAGATCATTGGCATCGAGCCGGATGAGATTGGCTCCCGATATTGTAGCCAGGTCTTCCACGAAATCGTCCATGGAAGCATGAGCATTGGGATCTTCGCAAGACAATGACAGATCCAGCCTCGAAGCCGCTCGAGAAGAAGCACTAGGCGCATGCCTCGCCACTGAAAAGGCAGCGTTCACGCCAGTCTCTGCCTGTAGGACTGCCCACCGTAGGAGAGCATGTTGGTTGACTTGTTCATATGGTTCGTTGGATACAGGGAGAGCCATAGTGCCGCCACTTTCTTTGCTCGCCGTGGGTTTGGCTTTCCCTGGAGCAACGGACGCATGGTCAAAGTAATGCTGCTCCAAGGGCTGCTCAGGCGAGGAAGAGCCATCTTTCTCTGCTAGTGCTTCAGTGGTGGTTGCCGCATGTGGCCCCAGGCCAGGCACAGCCCACGCCTCGTAGTACGGTAGAGTGAACAGGGTGTGGCCAGTGTCCCCATCTACGCAGCGCAGGGTCTGAGCATACTCAGCCGCCCTGTTGGGCTTCACAGTATCGACAAAGAGTTTGATATTGTGCTCTAAAAACCAGTCCGGCACAGGCGGTGGTATTGGAACACTGGTCGCCTGCGCTAATTTCCTCCTCTGCCTCAACGTCTTGCCTGCCAACCTGGGCTTGCGAGCGCCATCGACGACATCCCCTTCCACGCCTTCGGGCTCGCTTGTTATTGGAGCTGCATCGTGATCGCGCGCCTTTTGCTCTTCCGTCCGACCACTGTCCACAGAACGCTGGTGATCTGAGGGAGTATTCGGGTCTCGGTTGCCAGAGTCCACAGGCCGCACACCAGTGCTGCCAAAGCTGCGAGCACCCAGCGGTGGTGGCGGTGCCGATACTGGTGAGCGCGCAAAGCGCGATTGCGAAGCTGCGCGGACTCGATTGGGTGTACAGGCCAAGCGAACGCTCTGGCGCGCGATGCAGCGCATTCGGTTCGAAGAGCGTGTGGCCGGGTACGGACGGACACGGACGCAGGGCGAGAGAGAGGCAGTGGTAGGAGGTATGTCAAGTGAGGTACATATGTTGGATTCTACAGGTGAATAATAATAATGTACATATCCCACATTCCCACTGGACGCCGACGGTGGTCGGCATTTCAAGCTTTGACGCGTTCGGGACCTTGTATGTTCCTTACATACCTTACCCTCCCTCCTTACCAGGTATTCAGGTACTTTACCTACATGTACCTGTACATATACCTACCTCACCTAATACACCTACATGTTCCCATCCACATAACAACAATAAAGCTGCTCGCCTATCTCACGCACTCATCGTCTCACAACGGGGCGGAGCGGAGCGGGAGGATGACCTCGACAGCAAGCTTCTACCCAGAACACCCAGAGCGATACAGTCCAGACAGCAACATAATCATGCCCGGCATGCTTGATTCAAGTCTCATCGTGCACGCCCGGAGGACAGAATACTACCTACCTACCTAGTCTCAAGTTGTGCAAGTCGCTCATCAAAACTATCAATAAGGGCTTATTGTCAACGTTCACGCGCCTCGTCGAGTGAATAACTTCTTACACCCTATTCATGCTCTATAACGACTGCACGTCGTCAATAGTGACTTGATGCATAGATCAGGTTCTTCGTGGTATTTATTCTTTGCTTCTTGTGTTTCCGCAATGCATCCTCTCGAAGGCGTACTGGAATCTCCATCACGCTTCTTCAAATATTCACGATCCATCTGAAACAAGACGAACCACTCCCCGTATATCTAGGCTGGTCAGAGATCTCACGAAGGATGTTCGACGTCGGCATCGAGAAGAGGTCGAGCCTTTGCGACTCGTTGCAAGAACCGGACAACACTCATATCGCCCATGGCAACACTTTCCTCCCGACATACGAAGAGACGCTCAACGACAACTTGCGCAACTTTGGCGAACCAGAGCGCCACGCCAATCTGGAGGCTTTCGATCTGATTGCAGAGCCGAAGCGCGGCAGAAGGGACTGCCTGAAGCGAGAATATCTCATCATCGCTATCATATTTTTCTCGCTTTGCGCTATTGCACTCCCTCTCGGCCTCGTCTACATCTTGCGTAATGCCGGGTCTGAGCAAGAAGTGAGCACTGCACTCTGTCAACCATCTCACAGAAATCGTTGCTAACCTTGCGCTCAGACAGCTACCATGCAGACTCGTCGTGCAGAGAGCTCATTCAGCATTGCTCCTGTCACGGCCGCAATTCTCCCCACGGCGATTATTCCAATGACTGTGTACGTTACAGTCACGCCCACGCTCGAGGAGTCTATTCCGATCGTGACCATCACGGTCACGGCCTCCAGCCCAGATGTGGAGCCTACTACAGCAGGACCACAGCCCACGGACACTCTGACAAGCCTGTCAATATCAACAGACACAGCTTTAGTATCGACGGCGGCCAGCCTGACATCTTCGCAGAGCACGTCGTGGTCTCTGGAACTCTCGACGTCCCCAGTTCCTACCAGCATATCGAGCGTCACAATTGAACCGAACCTCGAGGCTAGCATACAGCCTGAGCTATCCCAAACGAGTGCATTGTATAGCCCCACAGATCCGACAACTACCATCTCACCGACCACGATGGAGCCATCAAGCACAGTCTCGAAGGTCTTGCAAACTGCGAAGGGCCGTTTTGGATTCTGCGGTGTGTCAGGTTCCAATTGTAAGAGGCTGCTTTCTGGAGAGAAGGGCACCGGTACAGTCAAATTTGGGCGCGAGTAGTGGCCTTGAGACGAACGAGTAGAGCTACGCAAAGAGACAGTCAGTGGCGCATTGCTTTTATGGTTGTCAGATGTGAGAACGACCCGGTTGAAAAGGCAAAGATTTAGCATACCTCACCCGTTGTTTTCCCTCGCCAAGAACTCACTACCTTGAGGCACATCACTCAACTCGGTTGTCAGTGTACATAGACTGTGAAAAATCAACTAGCATCAAAACGTCTGGTGCTACATCTTCGCTGCGCACGATCAGCAGCGATCAGCAGGAAGACGGTAAACTGGATGCTTGCCAAGCCCTGAGCGTAGGGCGCATCATTCATCTTGGATACAGGTTCAGACCATAAGGTAACTCAATAGACTGGACCGCACAGCCAACAGCACCAGCCTCGAAAGATGTGGCAACAACCTGCTCGCCCCTGAGGTGCAATGGTCGGTGCTTATGACGCTTTCTGCATCTGCTGATGGTGATTAGACACAAGGTATCGTTGCAGTGGTCTCATCTTACCCCTTGGCGCCTGTCCCCTGCCCTACTCCTCCATATCTTCCGATCAAAAGATTGTTACGAACGGTCCATCGGTAAGGTAGCAGGTATACACAGGTAGGTATCTTCAGTACCTGTAGTCGTTGGGCTTGGCAGGAAGAACCGGCACGTCGGGTGTAACGTGTTCCAGCGTGACGCGACGCGTGCCGACGCGTGGTCCACTTTAGTTCATCGGGCACCGGACCCTGAGTGGCGGCAGATTAAACGTACCTGCCTCTGCCCTGTCTGCCCTACCTGCATTGGCACTTGCACTCCCTCCTTCCATTCCCTTCCTTCACTTCTACTTCGACCTACACGCATTCTCACACCAACGCTGCTGTGCTGGAACGCCATCGGTCCACCATGTCAGGCAGACGAAGCACTGGCCGAGCTATACGCGCACCAAACAGCGCACTGACTGACTATCTCGCTGCCAACAACATCTCGGCACAACAGATTCGGGATGACTTTGAGCGAAGGCGACAGGAACGAGAGCAGGAGCAGGCGCAGGAGCAGGCGTCGAATGATGCTCCTTCGATCAGTGCTGGTGATGAGGCCATAGCTGCCGCAGTTGCCGCGGACCTGGCTGAAGAAGCAGATAAGGCCGAGAAGACGAGAAAGCGGAAGCATGTGGCAGACGAGGCGAAAGCGAAGACGAAGAAGGCAAAAGCCTCTGCCTCAAAGAGCTCCAAGAAGAAAAGCAAGATGGACGACTCGGATGATGACAGTGACTATGATGCTGGTTTTGCAAAGGACATGTACAAAAAATCTCGACCAGCTCCAGGGCAGTTTGAGCATTGCGACGTCTGCAGTAAGCGGTTCACGGTCACGCCATACAGTAAGGAAGGCCCAGATGGCGGACTACTGTGCACGCCTTGCGGCAAAGAGCTATCGAAAGACCTCAAGGCAGAGAAGAAAGCTGCAGCACCGAAGCCTTCTGGAAGGAAGCGCCGGAAGATCGAGAGTGATCGTCTTGATGGGTACGCTGTGGGTGGCGCAAAGACCTTACAAGAGCTGTGTATTGCCAAGGTCGTTGAACACCATGAAGATGTCGATGATCTGCGGTATATGCCTCAGCCACTCCTGGAACGACTGAGTGAAATATTCTCTAAGAAGCGTGTGCTCAAGCCCAAAGCACTGCCACTTTTCCTGAGGCCGGATCTAGACGCCGTCATCCTTCATGATTCAGCTTATCTGGAGGAAGAGGACTACCACCAGATCTTTGCAGTGGTCCCCAAAATAGAGAAGCTGGTTCTAGGGAATTGCTGCCAATTAAAGGATAAGGCGATGGACTATATGCTCGAGCGCTGTCGCAACCTCAGACACCTGCAACTCTACGCTGCTAACCTTGTTTCCGATCGCATGTGGCACCGTGTGTTTCGTGAGATGGGCGAGCGGCTTGAGACAGTCATGCTGACATGGCTAGATGCGTCGTTCGAAGACCTGGCTGTACAGGACATGGTACGACATTGTACCAACATCAGGCGCTTGAAATTGAAGCTCTGTCGCCGCATTGGCCAGGATGCCGTGAGAGCGATCGCAGAGCTTCCAAATCTTGAGCGTCTGTCCTTACTGATGAACAGGGAGGTGAACGTCGATGTGCTTGTGGACCTTGTTCAGAAGCGGGGATCCAAGCTCCGGACACTGTCACTCGAGAAGTTCTTTGACCTCGATGACAGTGTGCTGCAAGCTATTCACGACAAGTGCAGTGTACTGTCGAAATTGCGCATTTCGGACAATGATACAGCATCCGATGCCGGCTACGCTGCTCTTTTCACGGACTGGTCAAATTTGCCACTCACGTTTGTCGACTTCAATAGTGACCGAGACGTGGACAACAACAACTCCGAGGGGCCGGCACAAGCGATCGGTTTTGCATCCGCAGGTTTCAAGGCTTTGATGAAGCATTCCGGTTCTCATCTGCAGCATGTTGATGTGGCGTCGTGCCGACATATCGAGCTCTCCGCATTTATGGATGTCTTCAATGGAGGTCAGAACTATCCTGCGCTCGAGTATATCAACGTCAGCTTCTGCAACCGCGTTGATAACGCAGTCATCACGGGCATCTTCCGAAGCTGTCCTGCCCTGAAGAAGCTTGTTGCGTTTGGGTGCTTTGAAGTTGCAGATATCGTGGTACCACGCACCATTGCTCTCATTGGCATTCCGAAGGCGCAAGACGCAATCGAGCAGTATGGTGTGGGGATCGATGTCGATGAGGCCGTGGAGCGGATGATGGAAGTTGCATGATTGCAGGTGGTCGTTAAGTTTGCGATGAATGACGAACATCAATGGTACACAGAACAAGAAAAGGGCATTAGCGCGAGATGACAGTGCGCTTAATAGGTATCGATCTTTATGTTCCATCGAATCCCCCAGTGTCGGGATTATGCACAGCCAAGTGCACTGGTTCATGTTGACGATGATGCCGGTGACTAGATGTAGGTATGTTACCTAAGGTAGGTAAGTGTGGTTTGTCTGAGCGTGGTCTCTTCTCCATGGTCGATCTGCGCGGATCTCTCTGCCGAGACGGCAAACGATGAAAGGATGTAATGCGATGATTTGACACGATTAATGGATTATGTACTAGGTAATTATCGGAGCGGTACAACGTGGGTATATGCTCATTCATGTCCAGTCGCATTTCTACAACACCAAGATACCTAGAACCTAATGTACCGTAAGGAGGTACCTAGACAATGGCTGCTTACAAAGCAAACACGGCAGCCACGGCGCCCAAGATGACCGTCGACACAACGGGAAGGAGCGAAGCAGCGCCACCGGTGTATGAAGCGGGCATGCTTCCCGAGGGCATTGGCGCGCCCGAGGCAGGTGTGCTGCTGGTGGAGTTCATCATGGTTCCATTGGAGGAAGGAGCCGAACCAGAAGCAGAGCCAGAAGCAGCGGCAGGCTCGACCACAGGCTCGTATGACGAGCAAGTCGCGTTGGTGGGAGCAATTGGGCAGTCGTCCTCGATGCAAATGGCCTGCAGCTCAGCGGGCGCGGAAGCAGGGATCGACGCGGGAGGTGCGCAGCGGTAGCCGAACGCGTCGGTCAGAGACTTGCCAACGGCAGTGGCATCGTCCTGAGTCACGCCAAATGAGAGGGCGGCAAGACCGACTTGCTGGATGAAGTATTGGACTTCGTCGTTGCTCAGTCCCATGTATTTGTGGACAGAGTACTGCAGCATTTCGTTAGTCAAGGTGTGTGTGGGAATGGGGACTCGCGGGGACTCACCATGGATGTATCACCTTCATATGGCATGGTGGTGTTGGCGAACTGACTGCAGCCGAGAAGGTAGCCAAAGTATTGGTACAGGTGGGTGAGGAGGGCGCTGAGAAAGAAGTAAAAATAACAGTTAGTGGACGCGAAGCTGATGGTGTCTCTCGTAGGCAAAGTACACTTGGAACATACTATTGTGCGGAGTTGGTGCCGTTGGCAGGCTTGTTCATCATGAGGGGAGTGGCTCCTCCGTCGTCGAGGAAGTTGACGGCCTTGGGCATGCCGCCCGCGTTCGTGGAGGCGAGCGCACCAGAGAAGTATGGGAGAAGGTTGACGCCCTCATATTCACCCGTTCCATTGGCGAGAATACCAGGCACGGCGACCAGAGAACCGGGGTTGGAAGTGTAGTTGCCAATGACGGCAGTGTTCACCACGAGGGTCAACACGGTCTGCTGGTTCGTCGCGTTGTTCTCCTTCAACAGCGCAGTGGTGTAGTAGTCGCAGATGGACATGTCCGTCGGACGCTGTGCCGAGACAGTGGCAGCGGCGCCGAGGCCGAGAGCGACAGTGGAGGACTTCATGTTGGGATAGAAGGTGGTGGTGGTGGTGGTGGACGAGGGAACAGGAGTGGATGTGCGGGTAGGTGAGGACTTGAGGAGGGACAAAGGACGCAGGCGAGGATTTCCATGGTGGTGGCAGAGGGCGAATACAAGTACCTCCTACTCGCCATGTCCTTGACGCATGGCTCGGTTAGGTCCAGGAACCTTTAGGGGGGGGGAGGACGTGATAGTGTGTAGCGCTTGACCATTTTGGAGCCTGCGTCGTGGCTATGCCACAGCCTGAACGAGCAGATTGCGGGCACGAGGAATGTCAGTTTTCGTTATGGGACTATGCTACAAAGAGCTGCCTGGTCACGGAAACGTGCTTCTCCGTACACGGCTGGCACTGGATCCGTAGACGTGAGTGCATGCATGCTCGGGGAGCCAATCAGCAGCGTCGTATTACGGCTGTGCGGTTGGTATGCCAGGCTCTCTGCGACAGCCGTTGCCCAGATCGGCGAGCAGATTAAGGCTTAAGCTTGTATTTAAGAACTCTCGCTCCCGGCGCAAACTCTAATGCGTTGCCCACCAGTCAGCTGCCCGCTCAGTGTCAGCAGAAAAGGGCAACTTGGTGTCGACATCTGGTGGAGATTTGACTGTTCCCATCGGTACAAGCGGCCTCCCCCTTGCAGCGAGATGTGAGACAGTAATAGAGAGGTTACGATGTACCTGACTACTACTCTCATCATGCTCCATGTGTGTGTTGTGTTCTGCTGCCGAAGCCATCTTGAGGGCGGTGGGAGACAGGCAGAGTGAGTCCCATATGAATGACGAGCATTGATTGATTTCCACTTGTGGGTTTTGCGACAGTATTTCAGATCCAACCAACCTTAACCGGTCATCGTCGAGAGTCCGTGAGCCTTGAGGTGTACAACAACAATAACGCGGTGATATAACGTTTTCCGCGTTTCCACGTTTCCGTGGTGACATGTAGGTGACCTATTGCCGCACGCACGTTCACATCTGCATTCCACGCGTCGGCCTGGATCTCCGCAAACGCATAATCGCGGCATGAATCAACATTCCGGAATCCATTCACAATAACAATAAGGTAATGAATGCATGTTGATCGCTGCACGCGAGAGTGTGGTCATGAGTGATGCACAATGCGCGAAAAACGGCCCATTTACCCTGGCCTGAGAGCAATCCAACTGCCGATCGAGCTGGACCCATGTATACGAGCAGAGTGATGAGCAGCGTCTTCTCTTGATCTCTTCTTGATCTCAGACCTCCAAGTTCAACAAGATACAAGGATACAACAATCGCGGCGGTAGGGCACAATCAGCAACAGGCTAACAGCACGCACTCACTCACTAGGGGTACTGCCGCTAGCGCCCATCTGGACGAGCTGCCACCGCCGCACTTCACTTCCATGCCACTGCTGCGCTGAAGTATGTTGTGCAATCCGACAGCATCATCAGCGTCTTGCAACAGCAGTATGTAAAACGCAGCACACATGTCACAAATGCACACGGGAGGAACCTCATGTCGGCATAGTTGCACGCAGCTTGTGCTCGATTTTCTTCTCGCCCAAATGAGTGACTAAAGCTAGTTGGTTCTTCTTCTTCTTCTACTTCTTCTTCTTCATCTTTTTCCACTTCTCAGCCGAACGAGTACATCGTGTTGGACTGGACAGTTTTGCTTCCAGGCAAATGCGTCGCAGCGACGTAAATATGCTGACTCTACCGTGTATGACGTGGATGGGGCTGCCGCTTCTGCGCCATCAGCTGGAGTTTGGAACACTGCAATAACCTGTGTAGAGACGCAGCCGCTATACTGTGCGCTAGATGTGCGGTAGGATTCGTCTACCCGGAGCGATGCGCTGTGCCTTGAAAGCCCGTGTCTGTTGAAAGTACACCTTTGCAGTCTGGACGCCCGGGTACACGACTATGATCAAGACATCCACATTGGCAAGCTTGAGCAGGTATATAGGTGGCAGTCGATGGCCACCCGATGATAGCCTGGGAATGACAGATTCTCACAAGGTGCTTACAAAGGACAGCAGCACGTTTGGGTTTCATCAAGCATGAGGTGTCTGGGTAGCTCCAAACATCACTGCAGTTCCGTCATCAGTCATAGCCGACTTGGCTCTGGAATGTAGTACTGACGCTCTGAGCGTCGTCTTCGAGGGTGGTCCGATTTCTGCCAGCTCCAATCGGTGGCTGTGGAGGTCCCTGGCCTTCCACGTAGCGGCGGAGCTTGTCAGACTGGGACAACGAGGCCTGCTTGTTCAAGTCGTTGATGCTCAAACCCGTCAGGCTCACGCCACCTTGACCAAGCTTGGCGGAGCCGTCCATCGTGACGTCCGTAACCTCACTTGGAGCAACGCTCTCACCAGTCACCGACTCAGGCGCAACACGAGCGTGCTCCATCGGAGCTCCGTTGCGGCGCTGGTCTGCAGACAATGTGGGCCAAGACTCTTGAAAGCCCTGGAACATGGTTGGGTACTGATTGGGCAGAGCGGCGCCGCCGAGCGCAGACGAATGAATAGAAGACACATCGTCTGGAATGTACCCGACTATGCTGCCGTCCCCTGCACCAGGTGGCCCTTCACGGCGTCCGTTCGTACGTGGGCCAGTGGCAGCAGCCATGTGGTTGGCATGCTGGTAAGCCATCTGGTATCGCTGAGGACCTCGATAAGACGTCTTAGGTCGGCTGAACTGCAGCAAAGACACCTGGAGGTTGTTGAGAGGACCTTCGACCAAGCAGTTGCGCCCCTTGAAGTGCAGCAGCAGATAGTGCCACAGCGGATGCTTACTGAGAACCTTTGGATTGCCGAGAATGACCAAGCCATACTTTGCACGAGTGAGAGCAACATTGAGACGTCGTGGGTCACTCAAGAAGCCGATACCTTGGTGATCGTTGCTGCGGACGCAAGAGAGGACGATAAAGTCCTTCTCTCGGCCCTGGAACGCGTCGACGGAGGCCACCTCAATCTCTTTGTAGTACTCTTTCTTGAATGTACCGGTCTGCTGCATGCTCTGCACAACATAAGAACGCTGACCCTCATACGGAGTGATGATGCCAATCGCATTGGGCTTGACGCCCGCCTTGAAGAACCTGGTCACGATCTTCTCAACATTTGATGCCTCCGTTCGATTGAGATAAGATGTTCCAGACGCACTGATTTCCTCGGTACCCAGGTTGGACCAGAACATCATCGGCGAATCTGCCACAGGCCAGGGAAAATCAACATCCTTGCGAAGGCGCTGTTGCATGGAGATACCATTCTGCAGAGAGCCTTCGTAGAACATATTGGAGGGAAAATCCGAGAGGCACGGGTGCATTCGGTATTGCACTTGGAGGCGAATCGGGGAAAGGCCAAGTATGACAAGACGCTCAAACAGCGACTGGTTGAGCCCAGCCTTGGCAGCCTTCTTGTTCATGATGACTGGCCCAAGCTGCTGGTGATCACCGACAAGGACGACCTGCTTGCACCCGAGAACAAGCGGAATCATGCATTCTGGCTCGGCAGATTGCGTGCTTTCATCTATCAGCACGGTTCTGAACTTGAACTTCGCAAGTCGCGGGTCACCAGCCCCCACACAAGTGCAGCAGATAACATCGGCGTGTTGCAAGATCTCACGCTCAGCAGCACGAGTGAGCGTCTTGAATTTCTTCTCGTCCACGCTGGAGAGCTCACCAAGCTCCGCCTTGAGCTGATTGAACCTGTTCAGCTCCACATTCGTGTCATTCATTGCAACTTGTCGATGCAACGACAAGAATCCGACGTTGGACTCCACATCCTCGCGGGATTTGGCGGTGACACGAACAGCCTTCAAGCCAGTCAAGTGAATGCGCTCACACAGCTGATCAACGGCAACGTTGGAAGGTGCGCACACGAGTACCTGCCCACCGTTCATCTTGGAGAGGTGGTATATGATGGTAGCAGAGGTGACCGTCTTGCCAGTTCCTGGTGGTCCTTGGATCAGGCTGAGTGGTTTTTGCAAGACCGACTTGACTGCTTGAATCTGCGAGCTGTTGAGGTCTGGCAGGTTGGGCACGCTGAACTTCTTTGGCATGTGGACTTTCATCGGCGCAGCGGCAACTTCGTGGCCGAGAAGGCGATGAAAAATGTAACCTGAAACAGACATTTCGTCGATGGCGAATGTTTTCATCGCGTGCTGCATGCGGTCGAACGAAGTCGCCTTCCAGACATAGTCGGCGGTGAAATTGTGTGTGCACTCGGTAGGGACCGACTTGTGATCGCCGCGCGAACGAAGTTCGATGGTCACTTCGTCTGATTGATTGTTGGGAATCTTGATCACATATCCCACACCTTCCCAGTGCGGCCGTAGGTCACCGGTGTAGCGCAATCGCATTTCATCGCCAACAGCGAGCTTAACGTCCCCCAATTCGAGCTTAGGAAGAACAAAAGAAGCCAGATGCTTGTTGTTCAAACCAAAGTCCCAGCGCACGATTAAGTTGTCCTGGCTCTGAGCCTCCTTCAGCTTGCGATCGTAGTCTGCCTCGATCTTGACCAGAGGTCCAAAGACATTCTGATACTGGTACGCATCATCGTAGCGCAGAAGCACTGGAGCAGGCTCATCGTCAATGCTAGCGCTCTTCTCCAAGTCTTCGATAGTTGCACTGGGATTGTCCTTCCACAGCTCCTCGAGCTTCGCAATGACCTGCGGCGGCAAGTGGCGAGCGCGCATTTGTTCCTGGTCGGTCGGTGAATTGACAAGCCAAGAAAGGAAGGAGCGATCCTCAATCAATGGTTGCCATTTGGTGGTATCCCAGTTCATATCCTTGCTGCTAGGTTGGGCAGCGCAAGGCTGGCGGCAGAGAAGAACAACGACAGTGTCGCTCTTTGCCGGGATAAAGCCAAGCAGGAACACATTCTTGGTGCCGCAGTTGTAGCATTCGAGCGTAGTGTCCCCCAGAGGGGATGAAGGATGCAGCTGAACCTCTTTGTGCCTCGCGCGAACCAGATGGTTGATGATGTGGCTGCTGGAAGTGTTGCCGCGGGCAGAACAAAACCATTTAGAGCAGGACAGGCACTTGACTACTGAGCTCGGGTTGTGGATACCACAATATGCGCAGGCGTGCGCTGGCAGTTCAACTTCTTCCTCTTGATCAGGCCTAGCCTGACCGTTCGCGCCATTCGTGTGGCTTGCCAGAGATTCTAAATCATCATACTCGTACACGTCCGTCTCGTCGTCGTCGCCAACTCGTCTCCTCCGCGGGCCGCCGCCATTCAGCGCCACGTCCAAAGTGGAGGTGTCATCGCCTTCGTTGATAGCGGAGGCCGAATCGCCTACGAGATGATTGGCGACATTGGTGAAGGTGCCTTCCATGCCGTGTCCACGGGCAGGATGGCTGCAACCAGGAGTGGTGGCCGCAGGGTGAAATTGCTGGCTCCGATGATGGTGGTAGCGGTCGCGGTGGTGGTGGTGGTGGTTTTCGTGGTGTGGTGGGAGCAAGGGTTCAGTCTGCCCAGCTCTTTGCGGCGTGTTGCAGCCTAGGTAAAGAACGTGGGTTGCAGAGTGGTGCTGTCGCCCGGGACGAGCAGACCTGGTATTGTTGTTGTAAGTAAGTGTGAGGAGAGATCGTTAGCTGGAAGTCATCCCCGCTGGCACGCTGAGGGAGACTTGGCAAAGCACTTTTGGAACTGTAACTTTTCTGTCATCCCCGCCATTCTTCTTCTCATCACCTCGCAGCATCCGACGATGATACGACGACAGGCACGGCAGCGTCGCGATTACCTTTACCGACGCGCTCTTACCCTTCGCGATGCTGAGATTTCCGAGAAGCGTGCAAAGCTGAAGGCGTCGCTTGCGTCGGGCAGACCCCTCGAGCCCAGCATAGCGAACGACTCTCAGCTGCGCCGTGACTATAAGTACGACGAGTCGCGTGCGGACCGCACCACCGAGGAGGAGCTGGAGCTCGATGATGAGTACAGCTATCTCTCCGGCGTCGTTGAGCCTCGCGTGCTAGTCACCACCTCGCGCGACCCCAGTAGCAGGCTGGGCCAATTTTCCAAGGAAATTCGACTGCTGCTGCCCACCAGCATACGACTGAATCGCGGCAACACCATTCTGCCTAACCTCGTCAGCAGCGCCAAGGCCAACGGGCTGTCCGACCTGATCTTGTTGCACGAGCATCGCGGCACACCCACAGCGCTCACGATCTCGCACTTTCCTCACGGCCCCACTGCCTCGTTCAGTCTACACAATGTGGTCTTGCGACACGACATTCCAAACGTCTCGCGCGGAACGGTCAGCGAGAGCTATCCGCACCTCATCTTTGAGGGGTTCACAACGCAGCTTGGGAAGCGAGTACTGAAAATACTACAACACCTCTTTCCGCCACGAGAAAGCGGCACGAAGTTGGGCTCGAGAGTCGTGACTTTCAAGAACATCGAAGACAGCATAGAAGTAAGACATCATGTATTCGTCAAGACGGGCTACCAAAGTGTTGAGCTGGCGGAAGTCGGACCTCGAATGACGATGCGCTTGTTCGAGATCAGGCAGGGCACAGCGGAAAACAAGGATGGAGATGTGGAATGGCACATGAACCAGTACACGAGGACAAGCAAAAAGAAGGACTATTTGTGAGGAGAATAGAAGTGCCGGCTGGTCCCTCCATGATGGACGATTGGCCCTACCTCCTACAGCCGAGATGTGACTTGAACCATCCGCTTCTCTCTGCAAAGTTTGCGCGAATTCATTGAAGTGAACAGTACTTGCTCCTTCCCTTTGAGGGCGAAGGGATGTGAATGACGCTCAACACAGGACGGTGCTTCCATGGTTTGTGGTAGCATTCATGGACAACAGGGGCCGTGAGGTAGTAGAGGTAGTTGGACGTGGTCCACTACCAAAGTGGAGAGGCAGATGAATAAGGTATGCGGAGTAGGTACTTCCAGTACGTCTTAGCCAAAGGGTAGAAACATCCATAGCTTGTTTGAGGCAAGGCCCAGGAGACAGAAGGACGTGACTGAAGTCGTGGAGTCGTAGGTGCTGTGCTGACTCTCGGCAAAGCCCAGATGGTTGTCCGTTGCTGGCACTCATCAGAGTCACCAGACATACATAACGTCACCTGTCACCAGATGCGTTCCACCAATTAGAATTTTGATCATGGTGCCGCAGTGTTTTCTCTCTTGCGTGTGAAGGAGAGCCAAGGGGCCTCAGACCGCCCCATTCAATATCACGACTCATTGCACGGCTATTCTACGTATTTATTCATATACCCTGTACACGATCGCGCGGTGAGCACCCCGTGCCAGTGGCCTTTGGGTCAGAAGCGTTTAGCGTGCACATCAACAATCACGATGGTCGGCCACAATACAAATAGACAGTGGAGCGGCGACAGATAGTTGCACCGGTGGGAGGTTGGCATGAAGCAGCGCACGCCGCACGATGTCCTGAAACGGGCGAGACCTGCGAGGCTCTTGGGCTGCTCCAAGCTGCTGCTGCAAAGCTGTTCACGATCCCTGGTGGCCTTGGGGTGATTGGCCAACGGTACGTGCCGTGTCGTCGCATGCGCCCATAAAAGGGCACAAAACACCGATCCCATAGGGAGCACGGGCGGCCCTGTGGCTCGAGGACGGCACTTTATTGCAGCGTCTCACCAGAAAGTGCAGAAACGCGCGCACAACAAGGAGAAGGGGGAACGGACGGGCAGAATGCACGGGTGGGCTGTCTTACGCGGTGTCCGTAGATACATGTGCATTAGGTACCTAGGGTAGGCAAGGTAGGTAGGTAGGTATCCCTAAGGGAAAAATTCACTGGCCTGTGTGCATGTGCTGCCCACTGTTGCGGTATGGTATCAGAGGGTCACACGGCGAGGCGAACACCGTGGGCTGATTCGCTCGCATGTCGGTTGTGTAGCACGACGCGTCCACGGCGAGAAAGAAAATAATAATCTTTGCATGCAAGCATGGATCTCATACAAGGCTTGCCGGCGGGTCAAAATTCGAGGTGGAGGTACCTGTAGCCCGCTGTAGGTGGTAGCGGATGGCTTGAGCGTCCAATCTCGCTTCTTCTCATCAAAACTGTCGCTCTTCCCTCGACTCTGCCGCGATCCAATCCCCCATCAGCGTTGTTGCCTTTTCTTTGTGATACCCCCAACCCGCCTGCTTCAATCTTCGCTGTCTTCGACCACGCAAAGATCCTTTTGAGCAGGTCGCGAACTTCCATACCCTTCTTCGAACATCCCTTTTTCACCATGTCCGACGTTCAGCACAACACCACCCAGGCGGCGGAGACTGTGGTCACAGATCCTGCCACAGCCACAAGCATCACCAAGGATGCTCCTCTGCCGACCGACGCGCAGGTTGACAGCGAAGTGCCAAAGACGGAGACCGAGGCGCCTGCCGTCACCGATGGTGCTGCAACAGAGCCCGCGACAGAGACTGCCGAGAAGGCCGTGGAGCCTATCACCGAGGGTCAGCTCGCATACAAAGGCCCGGGTCTCCTGAAGTGAGTGCTTTCCTCTGTCGATCACGCGTGAAACGCGAGCTGACAGACCTACAGGTCGCTCATTCCGTCCAAGAAGGAGCTCTGGCTCAGCGACGAAGCCGTCGCCCCACAGAGCCTAGACCTCTATTTGCGCGGGGAGAAGCCAGAAATCTCACACGCCGTCGTCGCCTGGGCGAGTCAGACTGGCAAGGGCCTGTTGTTCTTCAACAAGAAGGGCGAGACCAACCGAGCACACCCCGCAGATGTGCTCGCACTTTACGACGCGTCCGACTTGAAGAAGTTGGCTGCCCACGAGTTCTCATTCAACCTTGACGGCCACAACCACACCTTCAAGGCTGCAACCGAAGCCGAGCGTGACGGCTGGTATCTCTCGGTTGAGAGGGCTATCGAGCATGGCAAGGCGTCTAAAGAAGAGATCCTCGCCAGTGAGGGCTACAAAGCCGAGATTGAGAAGCTCAGTAAGTAACGCGTTGGTCCTTGGTCGTAACCTTGTACTGATCCCCCCGCAGGCAAGCCCAACGTCGTTGGCGCCGCTACCACTCGAAGTCTTTCCAAGCCAAAGAAGAGCACCAAGGTTCCCAACGCTGAGCGTCTCGGTTCTTCCGATGGCGAGCTCGAGGAGGGACAGAAGAAGACCCAGAAGAGTCGCTCTACTTCTCGTGGCATTTTGAACCGCTTCAAGACCAACAAAGAAGAGACTGAACAGAAGACTGCCGAAAAGAAGGCTGAGAACGAGGAGACCAAGGTCGAAAAAGAAGAAACCAAGGCGCCTGAGGAGACACCTGTTCTCGCTTCGACTGAGGCTGCTCCAGTCATTGCCAGTACTTCCGCTGCCGATGTACCAGCTGCTGCGGACGTAGTTGCCGAGGACAAGCCTGCCGAAACTCTCCCTGAGGAGAAGGCGAAAGCGAACAAGCGTGGTAGCATCTTTGGTCGTGTGTCGTCTGGCTGGAGTGGTCTTCGTAGCCCTGCCAAGGAGAAGGATTTGAAAGATGCCGAGCTGAAGCCAGACAATGTCAATGCTGTCAGCTCTGAGCCACCTGTGCTCCCAGAGACTGCCGCCACCACAGAGCCTGCTGCGGTAACTGCTGTCCCAGCTCTTGAGGAGCCTGCTGTCGAGCCAAAGGCGGAAGAGCAGAAAGAAGAGGTTTCGACTCCCAGCAAGGAGAAGAACAACTTCCTGTCCGGCATTGGTGGTTTCATCAAGCGCAACCGAAGCGTCAGTCCAAACACGAACATGAAGGAACCAGTCAAGACAGAGGAGGTCCCTGCCGTTCCCGCCAGTGAGCAGGCTGCCACCACTGAGCCCGTCGCTAAGGTTGAGGAGCCAGTGGCTGATGTTCCCGCTGTTGCTGCTGAAAAGCCCACCGAGGCTGCGGCCGAGGAGCCAAGGACAGAGACCACCACGCCAAACAAGCGCCAGTCGGTGCTCGGCAGTCTTGGACGCCGTGCCAGCAAGGCTCTGAACCGCATGCAGGCGCCTAAGAAAGAGAACGCGGCTCCTGTCGCCACTGACGCCAAGGCCGAGGAGGCCACTGCCTCTCAGACTGCAGAAGAGACTCCTCTCGCCAATGGCGAGGCCAAGAAGGAAGAGCCTCAGACCATCGGCGACGTTGTCCCAGAGGCTGTCAACGTTGGTCAGGCACAGCACTCGACGCCTACCGTCACCGCCAGTGCATAAGCTTGCGGTAGCGCGACTGAAGCCGATCCGGCGCGACGGAATGTCCTCGATCTCAGATTGTTTGACAACCAAGCGTCGATTGCTTACAAAATACGGGCTCGCTCTGCCCATGGCTCGAGCTCACCATGATCACCACACTCACGGCCTCCGCTGCTTTGCACCTAATCACCAACTCTCTACACTCGCTCACGGTTTGCGGCAGCCCTGTTTGGCGGATTGCATTTCTGCATTGGGAGCAAGGATTTGCGCTTGGCGGCGTCTGTTGAATCGATACCACGTTAGTTTGTTTGTTTACTGATGCGAATACCCCTGAAACGATGATACCCGTTAGAAGTGGTTGAGGCAGATTCAATTGATAGTCTGGTAATAGAATGCTCTGGTTTCACACTGTTCCCCAGCTCGCACTACCTCGCGAGTCTTCGCCCGATCGCAACAGATTTCACGGGTGGGATGGATCTTCATGATCATTTAAAGTATATGTATTGCACACAGCCGACGTGGATGATGATAGTCAGTGCGCTCTTCTGCACGCCCAAGTGCCTACTTCTACCTCCTAAGAGGAGGACGCTGCCAAGTCCTGGCTCTCGGACTCGGAACACTGATGACGCCAGCTGGGGTTCGGGCCGGCTTGGCTGATGTACGAAACAACCCGACTTATGTAAGTACAGGTTACATATAACCTGGAACCTCCAGTACATAGGTAGTTCGGACCCTGTGGTTCCCGGAGCAGCATATAGCAACCTAAAGTCCTAAATGTAAACACACTCTACCCTCACTTTCCCTTTTTTGCATACATACCTACCATACCTGACTAGTAGCCCGTCGCTCGTTCGCACCTTCTTTCCTAGCATTCCACGGCTACGACTTCGACCACAATACCTTCCGGTCACTGGCCTGGCTCATCTTGTCCGCGCGGCTGTGTCGTGGCTTGGATGTGGTGACTGCTGCGTCGCTCCCATACCTCGGCGGCCATGCGCTGCTCACTGCCGCCCTCCCCCTCACTCGGCCTCTCTCTGCTGGCGTACGCGGTATCGACGATTACGATTGCGATCGCGATTCTCACGCCGCTCGCGGCTGCCAGTAGCACGACTCGAAACCCGATCCGCGCCCTCTCCGTAGTGCAGAATGCGACGATTCACACCCACAACCACCGCCTCACGGCCCTGCACGAGTTCGACCTCACCTTTCAAGTTCGCAACGAGTTGCACGTGAGGCTTCGCCTGGAGCCTAACCATGACATCCTCGCCCACGATGCCATGGTCACATACCTGGCGCCAGACGGAACGGTATCGCGCCAGGAGTCCGTGGACAGGCTAGGGCATAGAGTGTTCAGAGGCACCGCGTGGGTGCAGAAGTTGGGCAACAACGCCGACGACTGGAGACATGCTGGCTGGGCACGGGTGTCGGTGTTTCGAGATGGAATACGTCCCATCTTTCAAGGAGCCTTCTCCGTGGATCGCGACAATCATCACATTCAGACTTCAAGTGGATACCTGCGCACCAAGCATTGGGACGATCCCGACATCGAGGCTCAGATGGACGAGTACATGGTTCTCTGGCGAGATTCCGACATCCTGCCAGACAGCCAGGCACATCGCGATTTGAAGTCCAGGAATGCTGCGGCCGCCTCAATCTGTGAGGCTGACAGTCTGGTCTTCAACACCAGGGAGGACCACCCTGTGTATTTGGCCATGAAGGCCAAGCGTTCGGTTGAGCGTTATGGCAGGATGGATTTCTCACACTTGTTCAACAAGCGTCAGGACTTGGATGGTACGACAGGTGGTAATAGTGCTGGTGGCAACCTGGTCGCCAGCATAGGTGATAGTGCCGGGTGCCCTACCACGCGCAAAGTTGCGCTAGTTGGTGTTGCCACAGACTGCAGTTACACTGCTGACTTCAATTCCACTCAAACCGCTCGTGAGAATGTCATCGATCAGATCAATACCGCGTCCGTACTCTACGAGAGCGCATTCAACATATCACTTGGCCTTCAAAACCTGACCGTGTCGGATGCAATTTGTCCTGGGACCCCAGTGGCAGCCACGGAATGGAATCAAGCTTGCTCGGATAGCGTGGACATTTCGCAACGTCTGAACATGTTCTCGTCATGGCGTGGCAATCAGCGCGATTCCAACGCTTACTGGACATTGCTCAGCACCTGCCGGAACTCTCAGTCTTCAGCCGTAGGCCTTGCCTGGTTGGGTCAGGTGTGCGTCGCCTCAGCTGTCACGACCAACGGTAGTATCACTGGTGACGGGGCAGCTTCCCAAGGATCGGAGACTGTCACTGGGGCGAATGTTGTCATTCGAACACAGGGTGCAGAAGAATGGTAAACACAAGACCCCTTTCCACATTATCGAAACTTGCATGGTTTTTGCTTACCTTCGGCCTGCTATCGTAGGAAAGTCATCGCTCACGAGGTTGGCCATACCTTCGGTGCCGTCCACGACTGCACAAGCGACGCATGTGCCGACTCCAATTTCGTCAACTCACAACAGTGTTGCCCTGTAAGTAAAGTCACAGGTCGCCAGCACCCCTATCTCCCCACGTCTCTACCAAGCTCAAACTGCAACGAGTTGGTGAAGACAGACGTTGCTCAAATGGGCTCGTAATTTCAAATATCTTTTGCTGACGATTCCTCGCGCCACTTTTAGCTCAGTGCCAGCATCTGCCCGGCTGGCGGAAGATTTATCATGAACCCTCAGACCTCCGATAGTGTCAATGAGTTCAGCCCGTGTTCCGTTGGTAACATCTGCAGTGCCCTGATGCGCAACTCGGTCAATGGTGGGTGCCTGACTGATAATCGTGGCGTGACCACGATCTCCGGCCAGCAATGCGGCAACGGCATTGTCGAGCCAGGCGAAGATTGCGACTGTGGTGGAGAGTCTGGTTGCACCGACGACCCATGCTGCAACCCTACCACCTGCAAATTCACCCAAGGTTCAGTTTGTGACGATTCAAATGAGGACTGTTGCCGTCAGTGTCAATTTGCCTCGGCAGGCACCGTGTGTCGTGCCACGACCGGTCAATGCGATCCTCAGGAAACGTGCTCTGGTACCGCTGCCACCTGTCCTGCAGACCAGACTCTTGAAGATGGTACCGATTGTGGCAATGGCCTGGAATGCGCTAGTGGACAATGCACTAGTCGGAATCAGCAATGCAAGACGGTGATGGGCAGCTACACACAAGGCAATGATACATATGCATGCGATAGCTCGGGCTGTCTGATCAGCTGCGCCAGTCCTGAGTTTGGGAGAGGGGTGTGTTATAGCCTGCAGCAGAACTTTATTCCTGGCACACCCTGCGGCGGTGGTGGCAGATGTGCAACAGCAGTAAGTACTAGCAGGTTTGTGTGACGATTGAGAAGTCGTGCTAAGCAGCGGTGCGTAGGGCCAGTGCAAAGGCTCCACGACTGGAGGCCAGATTAAGTCCTGGATCGACGACAACAAGGCTCTGGTCATCGGCATCGCGTCGGCTGTGGGCGGTCTCTTACTTTTCTCCCTTCTAGGCTGCCTTTGCCGCTGTGGTCAACGCAAGCGCAACAAAGCTGTTCCGGCACCTCCAGCTGCTACTGGCTGGCAAGGTTGGAATGGAGGCTCTCGAGGTGGACCCGAGATGCAGTATGATATGCCAGAATACACAAATGCACATGCCACTCAGGGCTGGGCCGATCAGGCGCGACACAGTCGAGGAGGGTGGATGCCTCCTCCTCCTCCTGTTCCTCCGCCGGCGTATCAGGGGATACAAAGGAATAGTAACAGTGTACGGTATGCCTGAGATGGAGCATGCATGTCATTTGCCAGCGCAAACAGGCTCCTCTTTCTACGATTTTGATTTTGATGGGTTTTGCATAAAGAATGGCGAGGTCAGCCAATCTTCCGTCTTGACGAATCTTACGACTTGTTTTTTGTTGGGGCCATTTGAAGAAGAAGAAGAAGAAGAAGAAGAAGAAGAAGAAGAAGAAGGATCATCACAGGCGTGTGGTGTTGTCGAGTTGTCCACAACATTGGGATGCAGGAAGGCATGGCCAGCTGCCACTGGATCAGTCGTATAGGTATAATAGCATGAGACGCGCCTGAGAGCATGGGACCACTAAGTTGGGTAGAATCACGGTTCGTAATAAGTGCTATATCAGCGCGGGATGGGTTGTGGCGATATTTCGAACGAAAGTGATGATGAAGACCGCGTTCAATCAGCATGTACATGTACCTGTACTCAAAAAGGAACTCTCGGGTGCTGCAAAATTCGAAATGGTGGTCGGAATCTCTCATCATCATGATCATTACGGAAGGTAAGTGTAGTGCTGGAAGCTAGAATTGGCTTGGCGACGGACATCAACAGGAAGAAACAACCTGGAAGCCACGAGGTTACCTAACAGGTTGTAGGTATCTTAGCTTATTTCTTCCCCTTGGACTCGTGCACAATCTCAATAATCTTGTCCACGACCGACGGGTCTGCAAGTGTTGATGTATCGCCCAGCTGATCTTCTTCTCCCGCCAAGATTTTCCGCAGGATACGACGCATAATCTTGCCGGATCGGGTCTTGGGCAGGTCGGGAATCATGAAAATGGCCTTGGGTGCCGCGAAGGGACCGATAGACTTTCGCACTTGCAGGATCAAGTCCTTTTTCAGCTGGTCGTTGGCGTCGTGGCCATCCTTGATGGATACAAAGGCATTGACGGCTTGGCCGGTGAGTTCGTCGTTGATTCCAACGACCGCAGCCTCGCCCACGGCCTGGTGCTCGATCAGGGCGGCTTCGATTTCCGCAGTCGACAGACGATGGCCCGAGACATTGACGACATCGTCGACGCGGCCACGAATCCAGTAATAGCCTTCGTGGTCGCGTGCAGCACCGTCGCCCGTGAAGTAATAGCCCTTATACACGTTGAGATAGGTGTCCATATATCGCTTGTGGGCGCCCCACACGGTTCGTGCCATGGATGGCCAGGCCTGCTTGAACGCCAGCACACCCTCGACGTCGTTTCCTTGGATCTCCTGGCCCGACACGGGGTCGATCAAGGCGGCTTCGATGCCGAAGAAGGGGAGCGAGGCAGAACCAGGCTTCGTCGGGGTGACGCCGCCCAGCGGCGTGATGACGTGCGATCCCGTCTCGGTCTGCCAGTAAGTCTGTTGTATGGCACATGGGTCAGTCTCTGTCCTCTCTATCATCACCATGAATTGTATTTAGCTCGCACTCACGTCGACAATATGGGCCTCCTTCTTGCCCACCTTCTCGTGATACCATTTCCACACCTCGGCGGCAATGGGCTCGCCGACGGAGCCCAGCACACGCAGCGACTTCATCTGGTGCTTGACATGCTCGTCGCCAGCGCGCTTCAGGAGTCGCAGGGCGGTCGGCGCCACGTAGAACTGCGTGACCTCATGCTTCTCGCAGACGTCCCAGTAGCGGCTGAAGTCGGGGTAGGCGGGCGTGCCCTCGAAGACGACGGTGGCGACGCCCAGCACCAGCGGGGCATAGACGACGTAGGTGTGACCGGTGATCCAGCCGACGTCGCCGCCGCAGAAGAAGCGGTCGGAGTCGTGAATGTCGAAGACGTATTTGCCGGTAGCCGCGGCGCCCAGCAAGTAGCCGGCGGTGGTGTGCATGACACCCTTCGGCTTGCCGGTCGAGCCGGATGTGTACAGCAGGAACAGCGGGTCCTCGGAGCTCATCGGCTCGGGCGGGTAATAGGCGGGCCACTTGGCCATCTCCTCGTGCCACCACAGGTCCCGGCCGGCGGTCCACGGCACTTCGGCGCCGGTGCGCTGGAAGACCAGGCAGTGGGCGACGTCGGGACACTGCTTGAGGGCCTCGTCGACAATCTTCTTGGTGCCGATCAGCTTGCCGCCGCGCTTGCCCTCGTCGGTGGTGATGACGACCTTGGAGCGGGCGTCGACGATGCGGTCGCGCAGCGAGTCGGCGCTGAAGCCCGCAAACACGACCGAGTGCACGGCGCCGATACGCGAGCAGGCCAGAAAGGCGACCAGCGCCTCTGGGATCATGGGCATGTAGAGGGCGACGGTGTCGCCCTTGCGCACGCCCATCTGCTTCAGCACCCACGCCAGCCGAGACACCTCGCGCAGCAGCTCGCCATAGCTGATGGTGCGGCCCTCGCCCTTCTCGTCGGCCTCGTAGATGATGGCCGGCTTGTCCGGGTTCTTGTGTGCGTGCCGGTCGACGCAGTTGTACGAGGCATTGAGCTTGCCCTCGAGGAACCACGCACTGTCGCCCTCCGCCAGGCTGCCCGAGCGCACCGTCTGGAAGTCCCGCTCCCACGTCAGCAGCTCGCGCGCCAGCTTGCCCCAGAAGGCGTCGGGCCGTGTAATGGACTCCTGGTACATCTGCTTGTACTCGTCCAGCGAGCCAAGGTGGGGCTGCTTGGGGTGCTTGCTGCGCTCCCATCCATCAGTCAGTCACCTACTCAATTTTGTTGCTTGCCTTGCTTGCATAGACGTTGGTTGCTTCACTCCTCCACACGGCCACTCACTTCATAAACGCCTCGGGAACATGGTACGTCTCCGCCGAGCGCGACTCGGGGATGCCGTTGGGCGGCTGCTCGCTTCCTTCGGACATGGCTGCGCGCGCGTGCCCGCTGCTCTCAGAAATCTGGACTGCACAACAATGGGCGTTCGATGTAATGCAATTCCAATCGATCAATTCCAAGTCAAAGCAATTTCAGTACCGCAGCAGAGAGGGATGGGAAAAGTGATGGCGCAGGTACGGAGCTCAATGAGCTGTTTAAATCTCGGACTAAAGGTTCAGGCCAGGGTGTCAGGCGGCTTCTCCTGCTATACACTCTCAGCCTTTCCGAGGATGATAGATCTGGACCCACCCACAGCTCAGACGTCCAGTAGCGCGCATGTGCCATGTGCGTAGCGTGCCATCATGGCTTACCTTATTACTACTACTGCCTGTGACCTTTTCCGATCTCGTGCTGGACGCTTCGGGGAAGGTCGAGCTTCGGCCCACGAATGATGGAGGAGCAGGAGGAGGCAGAGGAAGAGGAGGCGGAGGAAGAGGAAGAGGAGGAGGAGGAGGAGGAGGAGGAGGAGGAGGAGTTCCTCACCTCAGGTGTGTGAGAACATGAAGTCATCGTCCATATGCCTCGCCCTCGCGTCGCTGGACAGCACCCGGACAGAGACACAACAAGCACATCTCACATCATCACCCGGCACTTACTGCATGCTGCAGCGAACTAATTCGCCCTTCTCCGCCTTCTGCTGCTGCACGGCGCACGCTGCCCCGCTGACATCGTTTGGGAGGGGCGGGGCTCACGAGAAGTGACTAAGGGAAGTTTAGGGAACCTACTCCAGTGTGGGATGGGATGGCATCATGGGCTGGCTAAATGGCACCTTAGTCATACCAGGTTCCCTACGCCCACGTCGCCCAGGCCGCCGCCTCAGGCTTGGCAGTGAATCCATTTGCATTTTGCATTTTGCATTTGCATTTGCCTAGGTTGTCCTGTCTTTTGTCCGTCTTTCCATTCCCGTTTTCCATTTCCATTTGGCCGCACTGCCGACTCCGCACGATTGACGGTGACGCCGTGACGGTGAGGCTTCGAAGCAGTGGGAGGCAGTTGCAGTGTCGTGTGACCCTCATTGTCCACTTGGGAGCATGATTGACGACTTATATTCTACGGGGCACTCTGGCATCATCACAGCAGTTGTTGTTGTAGTGGTGGTGGTGGTGGTGGTGGTATAGACAGCTGCGGGTTGGCTTCCTTTGACGCGGGGATGCAATGAAGGCTTGAGGTGTGGTGCTAGGCAGTAAGGTACCTCCTACCTACAGGCACTCATATACCTACCTGACCTTACCACAGTACCTCCTTGGTACCGTACATTAAAGGTAGGCTACTAGATAAGGTAGTGTAATAAGGTACATGTACATGTAGACCAGGGAGACTGGGAGAGAGCTCACCTCAGCGACTCGCGTGTCTCCGTCTCCGCTGACAAGGCTTCCATCATCACAACGGCGCCTGTTCCTGTGATTGACTTGGCTGTTGGTCTCCATCTGTTGACTTTCCCGTGGCCAAATATTTCATTGCCATCATACCTTACCTACCTTAGTTCACCACCACCACCACCATCCAGCACACACACACACGTCGGTTGTGATTATAGCAATGATCATTCTTCGACTAGCCACCGTACCGAGTGCGCACAGCCAATGGGACTGTTCATGTTCGGCGGAAGTGGCCGCTCGACAGAGCCATTGACGAAGCTTGAGCATTGAGTGACGATTTCCTATATGGGATGGGCAGGACATGTTCATCCATCATCACGACCACTTGCCCTCCGCCGGCTCTTCCACCACACCAACACCACCACCTCCCCCTCTCCCTTCAGCGACGCGATCACTCCAGAGTGTGAGTACCTACCTAGGTAGGTAGTAGGTAGGAAGTGAGCGACTGCTACCTGCCTCACCTCGCCTGGCATACCTGGATCTCCCCTCTCCCACCGCGCGCATTCCTCCCTCAAGACACGATACAACAACACGAACACGAACACGAACGCCGACACGAACACGTCCATGCGGCACAAACACGCGCGGAGACCGTCTGCCTGCTGCTGCCTGCCACCGCCCGCCCGCCGTCACGCGCGTCCACCAACCCTAGACTATGCGCGGCATAGCTTGCCGGCCACCACATTCGCTTGACGACGAGAAAGGATGATGAGCGCCTTTCATGGAAGCCTCCCGCTCCGACTGACGCCTTCCAACTCGCCCTTCTTGCGATCGCCCAGCCCGCGCTCGCCCACCAAGCCCACCAGGGACGAGCCCTGCTTGCATCTGCTCAAGAGCATCGGCACCACCACTACCGCCGTCACCAGCTTCGATGCCCTGTCCTCCCCGCCTCAATTCGCCTACACCGCCGGCGCCACTGCTGTCGTCGTCACCGTCGACCACGACCTCAACGTCAATCAACACTTCTTCAGGGCGAAACCGAGCTCCAGCGCGGGAGCTCGTGATGCAGCCTGGCCGCTCTCGCCTTCGCCCAATGATCCACGATATAGACCTGGAAGTCAGCTCAAAGACGCGGCTTCCGCTTCTCCCTTGGGCACTGCCAGCCGAGACTGGTCCGACTCGCCCAACGGACGGTCTGCGACAGCAAAAGACCGCATCAAGAGCATTACTTCTGTCGCTCTGAGCCCCAATGGCAAATGGGTAGCATTGGTAAGTGGAGTCGCCCCAGTCCAGGCATATCGGAGACACTTGCTTACCTTGGAGTCATCGGGCTCTTCAGGGGGAGACCGGATACCGCCCCAGAATCTTGATCTTCTCACTCAAGGATGGTTCGTCGGAGGCGCCTTGCTGCTCTCTGTCAGAGCACCATTTCGGAGTCCACGCCCTCAGTTTCAGCAGTGACTCCCGGTTCCTGGCTTCGCTCGGAACAGCCAATGACGGATTCCTGTACGTGTGGAGTCTAGAGGAGCGGGCTGATGTGCTGCGGGCAAGTCTGCATGCCAGTAATAAATGCACTGCGTTCATTCATCATATGAAATGGATGGGCAATACCATCGTCACAGCGGGACTGCGATTTGTCAAGATATGGAGATTGGACGAAGACGTCTCGCAGGAGCCGCGACACATGTCTCGCGATGCCCTCACGACGCCTCGACCTCGACACGATAATCGGACTTCTGACTTTGGCAATAGCATACTGAGTCCCAGACACCGAGTGCTGGCGGGCAAGAATTGCCTGCTTGGCGAACTGCTTGATGCTATCTTCATTTCCATCACTCCCATCTCCGACACCAAGGCTCTGCTCTGCACTGAAGGTGGTGACATTTGCTTACTAGACGACGCCGATAAAATTCAAACCCTGAGTCTCGCCGCGTTCACGACCACTCCCATCAGCGCGGCTCGCAAGGATGCTCGCGACATGTTCCACGTTTATGGGGCGGACAGCCAGACTACATCATTTTTGGTACCCGATCTAGAAAGGCGAGCCTCTGGAAAGGTCAACAGGTCGCCATCCACGATGTCCCCTTCGAAATTGGCGTTTTGCCAGAGCGCCACAGTGGCCACAGCAACTTTAGGCGATACTGTCGTGACAATAGACTCAAGCCGCAGTATTCGAGTAGAAAGGTTAGGTGACGATGCGCATGCTTTGAGCCAGAATGCGCGCATTCGTAATCTTTCCGCGCATCAGGATGCCGTGCTGGGCGTGCTGCCGCTCACATTTTCCACCTTTTCCCAAGCATCATTTTGCACTTATTCGGGCAATGGGACGGTGCACTTCTGGAGTGCCGAGGGCGATACTACTTCTGATCCCATCGCCATGCCCCTGGAGGGCTTTTCGGACGCGTACGGCGTTGCGAACGAGATGCGCACACTAGCAGTATTTCGCAATGGTACCATGCTCGCCTCGGGCGATAAATGTGGCACCGTCGCGGTAGTCGAGTTGGAATCGCGCCGCGTCAGATGCCACATACGAGCACATACTGCGGAAATTACAGCTCTCCTTGCTTTTGAGCGCAACGGCACCAGCTTCCTGGCATCCGCCAGTCGAGATCGCACAATCCAGCTCTTCCTCTGTGACTCTGGCACACTGGAGTTGATTCAGACTATGGATGAGCATGCGGGAGCGGTGACGGGCTTGCTATTGTCCGAAAACGGAAGCCACTTGATCTCATGCTCTGCTGATCGATCAGTGGTGATACGCGAGGCAGGTGTGCGCAGAGCGGAGAATCCACGCACGCTGGCATTCGCCATGCTGAGGGCAATCACTCTCAAATCTGCGCCAACGAGCATGTGCCTCTCTGGCCACCCAGATAGCATACTGGTATCGAGTAACGATCGCACTGTCGCTCGGTACAGCACGAAAACGGGCATGCAGCACGACTGCTTCAAGTGTGCTGATCACGAGAACGGAGAAGCGGTGGTGCTGTCGAAGATCCTATTTGCGCCATCACTGAACGGAATTCCCACGATCGTCGGAGTGTCCAGCACTGATAAGTCGATTCGCTTATACACGGACTATGGAAGTCTGGTCGCCCGGGACTGGGGGCATACTGAGGGCATCACAGACGCTGCCTTGATATCAACCACGCTCGGGGAACCTGCGTCATGCCAGCAGTCTTCTCCTCGCATTGTCACCGTGGCTGCCGACTCTACCATCTTCATATGGCAGGGAATGGTGGGAACACAACCGTCTAGCCATAACCACCGCGAGAGCACCCCAGCCGTGCTCGGACCTCCTCTCAGGAAAGTCTTATCTCACTCCGAGATATCAAGGATACGTCGTGATAGAGCCACGGAGGAGCAGCAGGACCCGCCATCGCCATCGAGTCTGAACTCTGTGCAACCCCCATCGCCACCAAAGATCAGGAATAGGACGAGCAGAATGTCTCTGGCGCAAACGCCTCGACTAGAGCCAGTCTTCCGTTCCACTCTGCAGTCTTCTAGGAGGAGAAGCCTGCGTCAGCGGTCTCCTTCACCTCCCAGTCCTCGAAACCATACGAAAAAGGAGAATAATGTCCGCGGTCCAGGTCAACTTGGCATGACCTTGCGCTCCAAGAGCAGCGAAAATGTGCTCAAGTCGAGCGGTGTGGCTACCAATACATCCGGCTTCGGTACCTTGACCTCCTCCACGGATTCAGTGTGCCGCACTCTACGCACGTATCGCAAGAAGTTGGTCAATGCGCCGAACAACGATGCGATCACTCCCGATGTATTTCGAGAACTGGAGAAGGAACTCAGATTGACAGTACGAGCGCTTAATGAGAGAGCGCAAGGTAAAGTACTGGACGAACAAGCCATATCCAAGCTTCTCGATCAGGCTTCTAGCAAGATTGTTGGCATGTTAGACGAACGGCTAAAGTCCCATGAGGAGAATATGAAGCGGAAGCCCAGCGAAGGCTCGTCGGCTGTATCTTGACAGCCTACCTAGACGTGGATGAAGCAGGTCGGCGCTTCGAGCGCTCAGTCAGACACTGCTCTGGAAGCGCCGATGGTCCATGCACTTAAAACGCATTCATCAGGAAGACATGAAGAACTTCCCACTGATTACTTGCATGCATCAATTCCATGAAGAATGTCTGCTTGCACAAAAATTTTGCTATATCATGAGAACTACCCTCACATATAAGCTCACACTCTACCAAGGTAGTTCTGCTCCGATTAGGGCAGGCTGCGTTCGCTGCATACCCAATGGAGATAAGTAGATGTTCAGGTTCTGGGATGGTCCCACGTGAAGTTAAAATACACCCAGGGGTCCCTTCTGACATGTATACTTGTATAGTCTGGGCTCTCACCCCTGTCTAAGCACATGCTGCTCTCCGGTGTTGTACGAAGAGAGTGGCGGCATTGGAGAGAGGGAGAGGAAGAGAGCAGCAGCAGCAAGTCTGTGGTGGTGGTTGTCGTCGTCGTCCAGGCTGTGTGTGTGCAGCCGGCTGGACTTTTATCAAACGCCGAGCCCCTGGTGAGAATATCCGGCAGCGCATAGATTGAGTATTACGATGGCGCGTGGGGCCGGGGGAAAGCAATAACACTATTCCACCGACCCATGTGCCCTTGTGAAGCGCTCGGCTGGTTTTCAGCCCGGCGAAGCTTTTCTTGGTGCGTCTTCCTCTTCCTCTCTATCCCTTCCACTAGCTCCGCTCTCTCTTTCTCTCTCTCTCTCTCTCTTTCTCTCTCTCTCTCTCTTTCTCTCTCTCTCTCTCTTTCTC